AAAAAAAAAAAAAAAAAAAAAAAAAAAAAAAAAAAAAAAAAAAAAAAAAAAAACATCAGCGTGTACTATGGGTCATTTTACGAGAAATGCGAAACTTCGATGTGTGAAAAAAATTTACGGAATTCCGGATGTGAAATTGTTTCTGGGTTCAACAAAAAAATAAGGTAACCGAACACTTTTGTGTCCGATTTTATCGCCATTTTTTAAAATCTATGAGACTTGAAATGCACTTTTTTTTTAAGATCACTAATAAACAAGATAATAATGAAATTAAAGTACTGTTGCAATATTACATCTACATTTCAATATCGAGTTACGAGAAACTCGTTTAAAATACCAAAGGATCCAATTTGTTTCCACGACTAAAACGCCGCGTAGTGATTAAGAAATGTTTCTTGGTACTTCGAAAGTACAAAAAAAGGTTTCTCATACCGACAAGTTTTGGATATTAATAAGCTTAAAAATAATAAATTGATTCAGTAAAAAGTTTCAAAAAATATTCCAACCAAGTTCTGTTAAATATGTTGGTTTGGATGTCTGGGACGTGGAATCATGAGGTTTTTCTGGAAAGACCCATACACCTGCATGAGGAAAAAAAAAAAAAAAACCAGCACATATTAAACGATAAAAAAAAAGAAGACGGAGGAGGGGGTGGGTACAGCATAACGATCGACCGCTCGCAAAGTTTGCTCTGCACGGACCAGCGAGCGTCGCGTAAATTTTCCAAAGCCCCTGCCGTTACGCTCCGATACGGCTATCGGTTGGAATTTTCTTGTATTTTTCGGCGCCGCCGGGTCGGCACATTATTAATACGATCGAGAGTTTATGTTAACCGGTGCCCGGCTCTACGCCCCACCTACCTTTAAAATTTAATAATTAATGCATTTGATGCTTTTTTTTCGCTACAGGCGTGCAGGCCCAGCTTTAATTTCGGCCGAGGATAAACATCAGAGGTCTAACTCGCGTATAATGCACGTTGCGGGTGAGTTTTCATGTGTTACTGAGCCCGATATAATTTAATGTCAAAGGGAGAAAGAATGAACCAACAATAACAAGCATTTAACGAGCAAAAGTAAAAATTTACCGTAAATTTGCAGGCCCTGTTGCATGTTCAGGTAATCCATCACACATGGGCGGCCGTTACGACGAACGCCGGTGTAGTAAAAAAAGTACCTGCGTGAAATATTAAAACAACTATTACGTACCACGTGACGCTTGTTTTGGCACTTAATTATTTATTCTTATATCTGTGTAGAGAAATGAAGTATTACAAAAACAGTAAAAAAAAAAAAAAAACATTATTTTATTCGTTAAAAGCCTGCTTACCGAAATATTGTTCAATGATTGATTTTTCGTAATGTCAACTTACATCATGTTGTCATACACTTTTACAATGAAATACTAAATATTTTATAAATTGAAAAATTTTCTTGAGAGAGACGTTTCGTAAACAAACCGAACCTTGTAATCAATTTTCAACTTAATTCTAGATTATAGCTGAAAATGTTGTTTTCCGATAAAAATGTTAATTGTAGATGACAATGGAGTGTAGTGTTGCACACACTTTTTTGTTTTATCAAGTTATTGCGTTAATAATTACAGATTTCAAATGCAGACCAATAAATGAGGTCACTTTAATTTCTTCGTTCATCGATAACTCGTCTTACTTTACTCGCTTGTTTCTACTTAATTTCGTAGACGACGAACTACTGTAATGTGGGTTAAAAGTCAAATACACTGTTATACCTACTGTTGAGTAAATTGTTTATTAAAATCATAACTAAAAGATTTAAAATGAAAAAATTTTTTTAAATAAAATTGTAGTAAAGTTTTAAAGTAAAAATTGCTGAAAATTCGTTCTTTCTCTCAATAAACTGCGCAGATATATAAAAGCCTCAGATAGTGGAAAGGAATGTTTTAAATCATTTTTAACGAAGTATGTTTTATGTGTCTGAAATTTTTTACGAAAACCTGCCTATGTGTGAGCTTTTTTGAAATCAATTCCGAGTCACTGTTTCTTTTTAAAAGATACGAACACAAATATTCGTGTTACTATCGCTGTTTGAGATACCAGGGTTACAATATTCACTTATTAAAATTTACTAACATTAAGCGTTACCCCGTATTTTTATTACTTTTTTTTTCTCTAAACGCAAACATAATTTTTTGACAATTTTCGACTAGTACATACGCACTAATTCAGCAAAAAAAAAAAAAAAAAAAAAAAAATTTCATGACAATCGTTCGTACATTGTACGGTACTTAAGAAAACAAGAGATCTACTTACTAACTGCATTTAAATTAAATCAATGTCAACAAACGATGAGTAAATCCAATATTTATTTCGAAAATCTCGTTCGATATTCTATCAACCTTTGTTGGCACGATTTAACATGGTAACAACGACTAAACGTTGAAACTTGTCACTTGGATAAAAAAAAAAAAAAATATCCACAGTGTTAAACGTGTAAAACAAAGTACATTCAACTCTGTACCCTTCACGTAAATTTAATCACTTGACCGTCAATTTTCAACGTACATTTTGAAAAATAAATAGCTACATCGTTACCAGCTCATTAATTTGTAAGACAGTGTAACATTACCATGTACATACACAATATACAATATGTTAATGCTATAACGCACTTACCTCCACGCCAAAGGCATCATCTGTATGGTCTGCTTCAACTTTGGTCGTATCTTCTGGGACCACTTCTCCGGGTATTCATGGTCGAGCTTCACCTTGAAGCCGTACACCGGTATGTCGGATGCCATTTGCTCTTTTGAAAGACGCAACTCGTGACAACTGATGGACAAACATTATTTAACGCGTTATTTTTTCGATGGATCGGCTTGTGCGCGATCGTTACTTTACAGTGTCTTCGATGTCAAAGTCTCGTGCGTGGTAATGAAAAAAAAAAAAAAAAATTGTGAAATAAGCGCAACCAAGGGGTCCAATGGAGGTATTACTCTGATCGACACAACAAATGCATGAGAAATAAATTTTTATGTCTCGAAAAAAAATCCAGCATCATAAAGAGAGACACAATCCATCGAAACAAGAACTTGCGTGCGACTATTTTGAAACTTTATGTTATGTCCGTGATGGATAGTTAAAACAATATAATTTTTTAACTTGCGAAGCATCTGAAAAAAAAGTAATTGGCGCTTTTATGAGTTCATGGAAAATATCACGTATTTTTTCTCAGATTAAACGAGAATTGTACAAAAAAACTATCGTTGAGATTTTGAAAAATAATTTTAAAAAATAGGCAAGAAAATTAAATCTTTACAGAAATTACTTCTTTACTAAATCATGCAATTATATTTTCAGTTTTAGTAAAGCTTGACATTGATTTTAACTAAATCCATACGCTTGGTATTGTATAACGTATAATAGACTGATGTTGTACGATGGGTGTATCGGGAGAATGGAATTATTTTAAAGCAGTACGTATAGACGGCGAGAAGTGGGATGGGAAAATTAATTTTTTAAAGCAAGGCCAACATAGGCTGACGTACATGATACATGTATAAGTATACAAAAAACTTCATCATCAAATACCATTGTACGAATCTTTGATTTTGCGTATTAATTTCTTTCTCACAGGGCCCTGGACATCTTGTGTCGAAGAAATTTACTTAATCAACGAATTAATGTTCTTTCACTTGAATTTCTTGAGCTGTTGTAAATATTGTAATTATTATCAGCGGAAACACACGTCATACAAAAGTGATTCATACGTAAAATCATGTATTCATGTGCGTGTGTGTGCTTATACGTGTTACAATTACAACTTACTCATTCGGTATAAAAAATTGCGTGAAAGAATCCACATTAAGTATTGCGATCAAGATTATAAATTTAAAAAAAATACATATATATATAAACCTTGTACCCAAACTATGAGACTGCATCACTGCAATGACGAAAAATGTAACGCATATTTATACATACAGGCAACTCTGTTTTTCTTTTTCAAACAATAGAATCTCTGGATACTTGTCTTATGTAGGTATATACGTACATTTACATGGCCTGATTTATAGTTTGTAGGTACTACTACTCAGTGTCCATGAAAATAATGACGTGTAGGTATTGGGAATGACACGAAGAAAAATGGAGTTGCACGACGATCATACAACATTAATGTAACTAATTGAAATATATTTACCAGTATCATGCAACAACGGCCACTTAACCAAAAAATCCAACAAATTGGAAAGAATATCACGTTTACGTGTAATTATGCGATACGTAAACCGATAATCAATAAAAATTATCGAAATCTGATACTTCACAACATGATTGTATAAAGTAATCAGTGATGTTTTATTATCACGACACTGTACTGTCACATCACTATATACTTACTCAATCTTCAATTTACTCCTTCCGTGTGTGTGCATCGATTGTCCAAGAGTATTCGTTCATACATCCTTTATCCTTCTCACTCTGATCTCATTTTTTATTTGTAGGTAACTGCTTTAAAAAATTTCACTTTTTAAATAAATATACCAATTGGCAATTCCAATTGAAAAATAATACCCATGTTGTCTGTACTCTCTCGAGCACTCACGTCTATATAATATTTTTCTGTTTACATTCACATGCAGACGACACGTGCGCACGAGTTGTTTATATATCTATATATTTCTTTTTGGAAGGGGAAGAATTGTCGAATTCTCGAGGTTATGTTGGTTATGTTTATGAGTATATTGTTTACAATATCAAAATTATCGGAAAATTCTCTCGGAGAGATAACGACAACTACGGATCAAATGAGTAAATGGACGAGACTTTTTGTTTTGTTTGTGGTCTTGGAGAAAATTAATGATGATTTTACGAAACAAGTCTACTAGGCCGTTTTTCGAGAGTTACTAATATTGCTATGTCAGGATTTGTTTTGTGGCATCAACGTAGTTATTCTAAATAATTACACAATGGATGCTGCGGAAGCTGAGGTACAGTATTTCTTGAGATAACAAGCATAACTATAAATAACTTTTTTTCCCGTTCAAATCATGTTGAGCAATTATTTTTTGCACAAACATTGAAATTTGAGAGCTATTGTGTCTAAACATATTGAATGCTCTGTTTGTATTTTATCAGAGTGACATATGTTTTGGGCAATAACTATTAACAAGTTTTTACATAATTTTTCGCCCAACTCTTTCCTTTTAATCCCATCGACGAATTTCCTCATTTACAGAAGCCAGAAGTTCTAGAGGCAGACACTGTCTATCTGTTGATGCAAAAAGATCTTCCTATATCACGCAACAGCAGAGCACAGTGGCTACTCAACCATTTGGAAACTGTCATCGCCATACAAGATCCTAATGCAGCTCTTGAAGATGCTCCAGAGTTGGAAATTGTTTCTGTATTGCCCAAAAAAGGATTCCACTCCTGGTCACCTGAAACTAGCTACCAGTATCTTTACAAAGTTTCATCATCAACTACAATAAAATTTCTAGCTTACAAATACAAAATGGTCTTCAGTTTGGATCTTGGTCCATCTCTTGCTACCATTGTGAGAATTCGTTGATTCAAGTAATTTATACAATTCTACAAACTATCAATTATTGTAGTTTTTACCTTTTTTCAGAATGTACAAAATGGGGAAATCGTGATTGATGAAGTTCATATAGCTATGAGGAGATGCCTTGAAGGATTAACAAAATCAGTAAGGAATCACATTAGATGACACGATATTACATTTTTTTGTTTAGTAAATCAGTGTTGATGAAAATTTTTTTGATTCAAGTTTGTCATTCCTGGAAGCCAAAGGATACTTTATCCAGAAATTTATGTGACTGTGATAGTTCATACTCCATTTTTTACAAATCCAGCCCAACAAGTTTTAATTCAAGGCTGGCTAGTCACTGCAGAAAATGTCGATACTCTAATGCAAGCCATAGAAAATGAATTAGATATGCTGGAAGAAAAAGTCGCACGAGTTACGAGTTTAGTTAATTTACAATTAGAATCTAGAAGGGCTGAAAGTACCAAATTAGTTGGTGGTCTGTTTGAAGAAGGTGAGCCCAATGTTGGTATAAGTAATGTATGCAATACTGTATCCGCAGTAGCTATGATGTCCCCAGAGAGTAGTTTTGTAAATATGTTGCGGTATGGAATGCTGGCGTTGTCTTTACTGCCGGAACACAGTTGTTCTCGTGAGTAACCAGCTTACATCATTCCTTTGACATTTATCGATGAATACTCTATACAAATTCCTGCCATGTTTTTCTAGATTTAGTTATATTGTCGGATGGAATCGTCGGCGTTAATGATATTCACGTGATGGAGTCAGTTATTCAACAGTTAAGAGGAACTGCAATTTCCTGCAGCTTTTTACACGTTGGTAGCTCATATCATCCACATAGCGCAAATGGACTAGTGCCATATACAGATCTATTACGTTTCATATCTCTTGCGACTTTAGGAAGTTACATGACGACTTTTCCAATCGCGGTAATAATTGCAGTTGATGAAATTGATGAAACCTAATTGAAAATAAAATGTATGTATTTTCATCTTTTCAGACCGACACAGAAGATCAACGCATAAACTCGTATCACGAAAATTTATTGTGTTGGCAATTGTATCGGCCAGATAATTTGGAAGTAGCCAGTCCGGACCCGTCTGCGTGGTATACGAAAAACACCTGGTTTTACGGCCACGAGCCACCTCAGCTTCTGAGAAAAAAACAAGTCGACGACCAAGTCACCTGTACCCTTTATAGCCTATTGTGCTGCAGATTGCGCGAAGGTTATCTGATCAAAAGAGCCACTCTGCGCGAGGGCTCCTTGGAAATATGCTTCGTTTTGCCTTGGAAAACGCACGTTTACGTCGAGTACCTAGTCACCTGTCCTCGATTCACCCGATCTCTATCCGTTTGTAGTACGATACAGTACACTGTAACCATCGAGGCGCCCTACGACTTTCTCCACGACATAACGTGCGTATCGAAAAAGCCCCTCAAGTCCCAGTACAGACAGAGTATGGTCTCGCGCTTCTGGAGCGCTCTCACTTCTCTGACGGAAAGCGACGGTATGCTGGCCCACTTTAGCTGGTTTCCTGGCATGGGTTGGCCCTGGTACAACGTTCCCGACACCATCAGAAGTGGAATGCCAGTGTTCTATCTGCCAACGTCCTCCTCAAACTCCATTCAACTCAGGTAAGCATCGATACACCAAACTGCCCGCAATACTTTAACTGTTGATCATTTTTTGTTTTTGTTTTTTTCTTATAGCGACGCCGCTTGTCAGCAATTCAGCCAGATCTGGCAGCCCGTCGTTTCGCTAGAGCCACACCAGTGGTCCCGTTGGCTGCACACGCAGCGCGTGACCCTCGTTCTTTCGCACGACCGACCGCTCTCGAAGCACCTGCACCAAGCGAACCAGAGCGGCCGTTTCCAAAGTGTGCAGTACCGGCAGGCGGCGACGGTTCTCTACGGGATGCTCAAGTCTTGGGCTACCTTCGTGCTCGTGGAAAACCACACGTACGTGCAGTTCATCCATCTCGAGCCGGACAAGCCGCCGATCTCGTTTTCCCTGATAAGCGTCAGCTGCAAGGCTCTCTGCGTCGTGCTGAACGTGGCCTTTGCGGCCGGCACCGACGGCGAGGTGCGCTACAACGTGATGGCCGATCTGCTCGAACGGCTCAGCCAGTTGAGCCTTCCCAGCCGCAAGAGCGGCCAGACCGAGCTGCCCTGCTGCTTTATATTGCAGAAGGCGCTCGAAAAGATCTTGATCAGGTACGAGCGCATGCCAGCTGATCTTGGCACTGTCGTCTTCCCCGACGGCTCGCAGATAATCGCCAGGAATGTCTCGATCGCGGGTGGCAGCCCCACGACGACTCTTAGTCGCTACTTGTATCACACGAGATGGCTGTGGTTGCTCAAGAGACCCGCGCTGCAAACGGTGCCTCCGATAGGCCTACCGAAACTCAACGTCACCTCCGTAGCCAGGATCCTCTCGACCATTACAAAGTAGGAAAACCACGATTTTTTTTTGTCTTATTTGTTATCATTTACAAATATCGATTAGTCAACTTTGTTACATTTTTTTTTCCCACATTAGAATTCGTCTGGCCGAGGGTTTTAAATTTGCTTACTCCTCCGCGGGCATAATCAATACCGTGATGGAAATCCAAATGAAAGGACCGAGCAGCGACGAGAACACGTATCCCTGTTTGCTGCAATACATTTTATTTCCTCCGCACAGAGCTGTGGTTCCAGGATCAATGATGGAAAAAGACAGTGGATCTGACGAGGATACCGATGACGGTGAACTTTGTTATGACAATTTTCCCTCGAGCGTTTAACGATGAATGAAAATTAACGCGTCCCCGTGACCATGTTTTGTACAGACTTGGATATGGGGATCGAAGAAAACGAAGCGAAGGGAGATTTCCAAATAGTCATGGAAGTTTGGGTCGAGCCCCAGTGCGGGTCCGTCGATCCGAGCACGCCCAGAAAGGCCTCCTACATGCATTCCCTACAGTACAACCAACTTCGCGACGCTGTAAGTACTTTGTTTTCCTTTTGAAATTTCTCTGGCGAAAAATTACAAATTCAAGTGAGTACCAAAACAAGTCCAACGAGTCACAAAACATGGTTTAATAATGAAATTAATATAATCGAGTCATCCAAAGGTGGTACAATGTTGTACGTTGCTTAGACGATTAGCCGCTCGAGCCGAGAGTCCTCAATAGATAAGCTATCAAACATAAGTATTTCCAATAACTCTACCCACATACACACACAGGCGCGCGCAAATATTCCATGTACGATTACGAGCGTGATTGCCGTGGAATGCGTCCAGCGATCGACTCGGCATCGATCAACGACTCGTCCCGCGTCCGTCTGTATTGGTACATCGTCCCGTAGCCGCTGTTTGCTCTACGTCCCCCTCGTCTCTGTCTCCATGTACGACGAACGAATCAGTCAAAAAAAAAAAAAAAAAGGCTGCAGGTGAGGAGAGCTGCTCCCACACAACCACAATGCTTATAGGTGCCACAAACCTTGTCGGTGGCTTGTGCTTATCTCCGCCGGCTGATAGTACACCTTTCTTTCTCTCTCTCTCTCTCTCTCCTTCTCCCTCGTAATCGTTGGAATAAAAATGTATCCTGACTAACGCTTTTCTGAAGTGCTTTATTTTGTGGCGGGCAAGCGGACAGGTCGCGGAGCGCGCGCTATCTCGCTCGGCAAACACCCGGCCCTGAAGCGTACACACGCTTTTTATTACACAATCATCGAAGATTTCGAGTCGCTGACTCGCGGCTTGGGCCCCTTAGGGATCATATGCTCTCTTTTTTTTTTTTTTTTTTTTTTCTTGGCACAGCGATTCTTACGAATCTTCCCTTGGCACTCGCGTCACAGTGTCGCCGATGCACCATCTCCCTTTTTCCTTTTGATTTCATCTGTTTTATCTTTGCAAGTCTTCGCGCGATTTTTTTCCAGGCTTTTGGCATTAATTGCCACGAGTTACTTTTATTCATTTCATTTACTCGATGCACGTGCTGCTGTTGGATATTTCACGTGGGAATCATCGAGGCATTTGACACGAAAGTTTAGCGGCCGGACTGCCTAATTAATTGGCACTATGCACTGATAATTGATAAAATTGTCGATGAATCGGAAGTTGTGTAGTTTGGGTTCGTGTCTGTACAAACGGTTTCAAAGAATAACTTGACCCTATCGAATTAAATCGTTTTGACGGCGGCCCTCTTGTTTATCGTATTAAAATAGCACCACGCGCATTTATTTAATCTAGCATCTCTTGCTGGAAATATAAATCTTTATCGATAGCTCGGAATTACGAAACATCGGCCACGTCGACGAAGAAAAGAGAAGAAAAAAAAACCAACTAAAGACTTTCTTTGGAATAAATATGATAAAGTGAAGCTTTCCGTTTTATTCTTTGTACAACGGTTTTCTAATTGAATTCGATTATTTACTGATTATTCGCATATCGCTGTTGGTTGATACAAATATCCACAGCTCCCTGTGGAGCGCACAATTCGATCGCTCGAATCTGTAAACTGCAACAAAGAAGTATTGTCCGTTAAAAAAAAAAATACAAACTATTTCGGTTTTTCATGCGAGACACGACTAGTGCACTGCGGACCAAAAAGTGTTATTAGGTACACCCCTCGGTACTGATTAATTAATTTTAATTTCTTTCAAGTGATACCTTGTGTAATAATATTACCTTAGAGGCATTTTAATCTTTACATGTTAAATGAGTTTCTGCAGAGCTCGTTATGGTGGGCTTAAAAACTTTTTTAATTACTTTGGTGTAATTATAATTCAAGCACTTGAAGTCGAATCAACGGTTATCCAAAATCTATATTTTTCATGTTTTGAAACAAAATACACAAGTGCCTGATGCTTAAACACTTGCATTTGTTTAGCTGTGATTTTTTTTTATGTTTAATTAATTATTAAAGTATTTAAAAAGTAAACTGATGGAGGTGCGTGCCACAGAAATTAAACCCTCGAGTCTTTTGTTTTAAAATACTTGGATTTGCTGTGTACAAGAAAAATAAACTCACGGGATCACCAGGAACGGGATATCCCCTCTCCTTTTTTTTTTTTTTAATCAGAAATTATATTTACACCTGCAAAGAGTTGAGCTTTTTGCTATGCCAATGATATAAAGCATCGTCGTGTATTGATTGCGCTTAGGAAAAAAAAAATCTATCCTTAAACGACACGAGATAAGATTCAATTTTAATCAATACGGGCACGGTAAATGTAGTTCTTCGTGAATTTTTCAGGAGTACATTAATTTAAGCGCCTATACTCACAAAAATCACGGATTGACACACATCGATGGCAAAAGATAAGCTGGTCATCAAACCCAGCTTGTAAACTTGGATTGAAACAAAAAAGAAGAAAGAGAGAAGAAAAAAACATAAAAATCTCTAAAATTGAACAGAGCGCGAGAAGCGACGCAGTAGTATAGTGTTTTTGAAAAGAGCAGATGTAATTTCGCAATAAACTCAATCTATTACATACACACCTATGTGCTTATATACAATTTGTAAATTCGAGTAGTTCGGTAAGTAAAATAAAATTTCTGCGGAACCAATGGTGCCCTTCATCACCGTAGAGGTACCGCTTCCGATGAAATTGAAATCCCGGTGCTTTCGTCCGACACGGGACACACGATGGGGCCAAAATCACGATCATAGCGAGGATTCGGGATCACCTGCATGTGGTCGTAGCCGTGGTTTCGAAATCGCCGCGGAAGTGCGACGTCCTCTCGCTCATTTGGCCAAACAAAAAGCGCGAAATCCGTCGGGACGCGCCTTCGTTTTATACACGATTGTGTAGCCGAGAACGGAAGTTGCGTCGTATATGTATACCTATTGTATACATTCCCTCGCCGAGCGACGATTTCTAGTTCTCTTGGTCGTTCCTCCACACTTTTGGAAACATCGTTTCTCTCTTCGTCTCCGCTGGCGCGCGTGTCTGTGTACACGTATACCACACTCATGCCCAAAGTTGTCTATTTTACTTGATCAAGGCGCAGTACACGTACACGTACAATACACGTACCGGCGTACATCGTTATCGTTATCATCGGGGCGGGGCGCGGCTGAACACACGCGCACACGGGAGGTGGCATATGTCGATGATATCGACGAGCCGTAGAGGAGGACCCCGAGCTTTTTTCCTATCAGTCGAGCATCGGCCAGGTGCGCGTGTATATATAGGGCCCGCCGGCTCTTCTGGGCCTCCTAGTGACTGTGGCCGTCTCATCTCGAGCGCACGCTTACGTTTTTTCGCTCTCTCTCTCTCTCTGCGCCATTGGGCCTCTCATCCTCTTTTCTTGTTCGCTTTATTTCAATTTTCTCGGCGCCCAACAATTGTGATTGGTGACAGTGAGTTGGCGTAATTGTCATTATCATTAACTTTTTGTTTTCGAGGGGTGGGCAGTGCGGCTACCAGTGACCGCTCGAGTACGGGAAAGAAAGAAAAATCCGGGGGTGGAAAAGTGGCGGATCCGCGCGACCCCTTGCTCTCGGCGGTTATCGTTCGCGTTGGCGCGCGATCGCTCAATAATGTACACGTAATGTAGCGGTCGTATTTTTTGCTTCGCGAGGCGCGACTCGGGATGGGCCACGAAAGCGAGAGATAAGAATTTTCGGTCCGTTCGCGGTATACTTGCGCTCGGGGCTAGGTGACGAGGCAGCGCGCTTGGGAATATAGGTGCGGGCGTTAAAAAAAAAAAAAAAAGGAAGAAAAAAAAAAAAAAAAAAAAGCAGAGCATCGGAGATAAGAGCTCGTCGACGTGGTGGGGCGAGCCGTGTGTCGGTGGGTCTCGAGTTTTCGGGCCGGTTTTGTAGGTTGGGCGCCCGCGGGGAAAATCTCAACAGGTGGGACTTTCGCGTGGTGTGACGAGCGGCGCGACCGGTAGCCGATTTTTTTGTTTTTCCGGTGATAAAGAGCATTGTTTTTCTCGCACGCGATAAATTACATCCGCGCGCGGCAGGTGAAATCTTTTTCAATATCTCCGGGGCTCATACTCATCGGTTGATCAAACACACTCCATCGACGAAGACACACACTCGCGATAAGTTGCCTTCTGGAAAACAATCAGAGAGAGAGAGAGAGAGAGAGAGAGAGAGAAAGTGAGGCCAACAAATAAACAAAACAACAAAAGAAGACCAAGGAGAAGAGTTTGCGGGACAGGTTGGAGGGTTCGAGCGGATGAGCTTCGTGGAAGAGAGAGAGAGGCCGCGCGCTCCTGAGTTGGAATTGGAGATCTAGACATAGAGCGCCAGCCTCAGACCTGAATTTGCCAGATCTAACTCTTCCAGCTCGAGATCGCGCGGCGCTGCGACGCAGTATAGGGATTCGGCATCCCCCCACGCACGCGTTCAATCGAGGATGTTGCGGGGCTTTCTCGCTGGTGGTGTTGTTTCCTCGCAGGGGACGCAATTTTTAGAAGAGAGAGAGAGAGAGAGGGATAAAGGTGGCCAAGGGTCCGAGGTTCAAGTGGAGCAGTAGTCTCTGCACTTGGTCTTTTATAGTGAGATTCAACTCCTCCAACTTATTCCTGGGGACCCGCGACTCTGCGCCCGCTGCTCTCCTTTTTTTTTTCCAATTCCCGTAGTCATTGGTTTTTTCATCGACATTATTCTACCTGTTGTTATATTTTTCCTGCTCTACTTGTAACAGCAACGAATATTTGTAAAAACATGCAATGTATTTTTTAACAATGTTTGTGACTTTTATGACTTGTGTAATATAACGAATTTGTAATTTTATTTTTTCCATCACTCTTAGTCGTAAGTCCAGCGTGTAGGGTTTATTTTTAAACGCAAACGTCATTTATTTTATCAATACTATTATTATTATTTTTATTACTGATAATAAAACACATCTTGATAACACACCGAATCTGTTGACGTTTTTTTTTTTTTTTTTTTTTTTTTTTCCCAATGCTATGTAGAGAACCAGTGTATTTTTCTTTCGCTGTTTGTTTTCATTTAAACTCATACGTACATACCTGCATAACTGAGCTGGACATGAGTCAGCCGCGACTTTTTTTTCGATCGTACGCGTTGACGAACCGAAAATAATGATATATAAAATCACTTTTGTCGATAAATTGATAGCTTGTGAAATCACGGTTTCATGAATCAATAAAATCGACTGGTTTAAATAGAGGTTCGAACTAATCGGGTTCAGATGCATTTTTGATTCAGCGACGATTGATTGATTCGATTAAAGATGAAACGAAATTATATACTTTTCAATTGTCTATCCATGTACGTATGGATCGTAATCCGCATGATATTATTTACACTAAAAATTTTTATTTGTTTGTTTTTTCGGTCTTAAAATCACCAAACAGCAAAACACGCAATGAATCGTTCTCGATTTCCCAATTTATTAAGTCGTAAATTCCAGTCGAACCAATAACTTGCATAAGATTCGTATAATGGATCATTTAAGCGGATCGAAAAAATACCCATACTGTTTTTGATGTAGCGTTAAATTAATGACGATTGTATTGTAAACTCGGCGAAAAAAAAAAAAAAAAACAGATCGGCAAAGTGGACAAGGAGTGCATCAACGCCCTTCTTACGCTCGAGTACCTGAGCCTCATGTGCCTGGAATCGGCCGTCGGTGCCTCGGGTGGCCAAAAGTCGCATCAACAGCCATCCCACGTAATCGTCCAACCAATGAATGGCGGCTGCATCGGTCCAGGAAAGACGCCGAGACGACCGATCCCACCCGATCCCGTCGAAACACTCCTGATCGACGATCGCATTCGCTCGACCCACTTCGACTTTGACGTGCTCGGCATCCTCACGAAATTCCAACAGGCCGAGCTGCTCTTCTCCATGTTTGCCGACGGTCAGGCACCCCTTCAATACTCATTGTCTCGTTATAATTGTACTTTGCACCTATACACTTGAGCGATAAAAGAGTGAAAATTTGGAAAAAAAAATCCAACAGACGAGAACGAGGATCAGCTCGACAACGGGAACGGCAGCAACGGCGACCCCAACGGGATATTGATGGACGGTCTGTTGGCCCACGTGAGAAGCTTGCACAACAAGGAGCTGATCCTGAGCCCAGCCGAGTCGGACAGGTTCACGGAAATGCTCGGCTCCCGGCCGAGACCCGACGGAGATCCAAAACTTCTCTTCGGCCAGTCATGTACGCGCGACAGCCCAGACTCCGTGGGTCAGGGCAACGCGTCGGCTAATCCGCGTTGGCGGTGCTTCGTCAAGGGCATTAGCATGACCCACGTCATCGTGAGCCTATTGCCGGCAAGCGAGGGCGACGCGCGTCTCATGGCTTACCCCGTGGACGCGGAGCGACCCTCGGCACTGAGCGCCACGCCGATCCCTTGCGCCAGCTGTCCCAATGATTCGGTCGTCGAGCAACGCCAACCGCAGCCAACAACCGAGGCTGGTGGCTCGCGATCCGATGGGAACGCGTCGCCGGTGCAGCGCCCTCTCGCCGGCTATCAAGAGAGGACCTTGGATCTCGACTACTTGCGGGACGCGCTGGTCTTCGGCACGCCCTGCAGAGCTTCGAGCTCCCTCAGCAGGCCGATCGAGGGTTCTAGGCAGGCGCTCGTGTTGCCCGTCTACGTGTACGACTGCTCGCTCGCTCTCCTCGTCGACGCGCTGGTCGAGAAGCTCGAGAGACCGCGGGCTCGGGATGTGCATCGCGACCACACCTTCCAGCTGGCTGAGCACTACGCCCAGAGAGAGGATTACCTCAGGCTCAAGTCTGGGACCGGTGGTGGTGTCGGCAGCAAGCCCCCCTCACCCGAGCCGAGAAGCGAGGACTCGGACAGCCTCATCAGTGGTAATTGCTGGTCGATTATGACTATTTTTTTTTTTTTTTTTTTTTTTTTTTTCACCCACGCTCCAGTGCGTTGTACGATTCTGTCTTATGTCTTTGATCGGCAGATCAGCGCAACCTCTCGAATCACCTGAAGGTCCTCAATCTCGCGCATTGCAACGCGTACGTCGTCGCGGTTTACAAATCATTGGTGCTGCAGCGGCCGCTCGCCCACGGGGACATGGACGCCGCGGTCGAGCAGTGCGAGGAAAACCTTCTCGAGATATCCATTACCAAGTATTTGCGGGCCGTTTGCCGGCACTTGGACGCGTCGTCGACCGACGAATCGAATCCCTGCGAATGCATGGGCAACATGCACAAGCTCATAAAGGACAAGTTCCGTAAAATTATAAGCGTCGCTTTCAGGCAGGTGCCCGTGCATCCGGACTTTTACTACTGTCTGCCCTCTTGGAAGCAGGAACACCTGGTATGTTGTATATACAGCTCGTAGTAGCCGGTGCACTTAATGCTAATACACTTGTTGACTTGGTGATTTCTATTTTAGCGAGAGTCGCCTCAATTTTCCACCAACAGCGACGACAATGATGACGATGACGACGACGACGACGACAACATTCGCTTCAGTTTTAACGCTGCGGAGCCAGTCAATGGGAAAATCATCGGCTCGTTAAAGAGAAACAACAACGCGAACTCGTCGGTGGCTGCGTGGTCGAATAGTGGCGGCCTGTACGACCGGCCTAAGCTTTCGGGGAGCTCGGACACGATCGAGTCTTTCGTCAGTGACACGCAAACAGAGTCGGAGCGCGATCGCGATCAGCCTCTGTTTCTCCAGCTCAATTGCACGGTACACGACAAGCAAAAGTTCACCACAAGCGCCATAAACGTCCTACCAACTTGTTTCACCGAAATAATACAGAGCCAGGGCAGTCACGATCCAAAGGACACGTACTCGTCCGATCTGAAGGTCACCCTGGACATTATCTGCCTCCACTTGCCGAAAGAGGTTCTCGAGGTACGAGTGTACAACACGTTCGCTATTTATTTCAAGGAAAATGCACTTACCTATACTGAGTACTAAAATATTTCGTCGTCCAACAGGTGAGCATCGATCACACGCCCACAGGCTTGAGAACAACGTCCTACTGTAGCGAGAGTAGTGCGCAAGTTGCGAGCGAAGCTGATACCGAAACCGACAACGAGGCCGAAAACGACAGCAAAAGTAAGCTTGAAAGGCTAGACTCAACCGGTATCGAGCAGCCCATGTACCATGACATTTCGAATTTGCCGGAGCACCAGTGTAGAGCGGTCAAGAGCTTTATCGAAGAAGTCAAGTGGCTTCTGGTGGACGAAACTATAGCCGTGCTGCTCGACAAACCGATGCCCAACGAGGAGACCCTCGACACGGTGGCCAAACACGTTGCCACCTCGAACAACAGGGACAGCTGCTACATGGACAAAGTACCCCTGCACTTTGTCTTTCCGTCTGGCAACAGTTTGCCCAGATTCATCGAGGAGCTCAAGAAATTGACGATCGATCGTTATTGCATTCGACAGGAGGGCAACCTCTTTTACTTTGTCAAGAGAGCAGGCGACTCGCCAAGACAGACGAATAAAACTAGCGAAAAATCAGCAGACATGAGTGGTGAGTATCGCGATGAACATTACATTTTCAGGTCCTTGGTCAGTCACATGGCACGGAAATGATATATCTTGATCGCTTTAGCTTTCGAGGACGACAATTCGGCTGTTTTCACCAGCAGCAACAGTTCGGGATTAGTGATGTCATCGCGAACTTTGAGAAAGCGAGCCGCGAGCGAGCCGCTGGCCAGCAGTTACTCGGAAAACTCGAGTCTCGGTGAAAACCACGGGGTCAACGACGACGGCTACGAGGGCGACACCAGCGAAACCGACGACGAGGACGAGTTCCAATGGCTGGCCGATCTCGATCGCCGGCGCGACAATTTGCCCAACTTTTGGCTCATCCTGCGAGTCGAGCACGACCTCGTCAACGTGTATTTCCACTGCCGATTTCTCGAGCTCAACTCACCCAAAGTTGACGGCTACCGGCAGGTGCAAAAAGATTGCGTGACGCAAATCAAGGCCATCTGTCGCAGGGTCAATCAGGGCCTACTGCTGCGCGACCTGCACGACAAACGGAGCTGCGATCCGCTGTTGGAGCCAGAATCATCGGAAGATCACAAGTGGAAGGGCAACGAGAGCGGCGCTGACGCGAGCGCGTTGCTCTTGAACAATCACGGCACGGCTAACGTAACACCCGGCATGTTTTGCTGTCCAATCGTGTGCGAGGTGCCGTTTTGTCTGCACCATCGACTGAAAACCGGTCCCGGCAAGACAGGCTTATCCCGCGGTATCAAGGCTCTGCAGACGGTGCTCAATCGTTTTTCCGTAAACAACAGGGCCAACATGTTTGTGTATCAGGAAAACAACGGCAACGTGTTTTACCTGCGCCTACTCGAGCGCACGTACGACGACAGACCGCTTCACAGCAACAAGTTGTCCGAGAGCGATGAGAAGCTGATGGTGTCGCGCAGCAATAGCGCCGCGTCGCTCTCTCAGGCCAAGAGCCTCGGCGTAACGTCGGATCAGCCCTCGTTCGCTACTGCGGAGGCAGACCCGCTTAGGCCGAGAGTTAGGTCCTTTGGCGAAAGAGAATCCGATTTACTCAACAAATCCGGTGATTTGATTGTTCTCATGGTAAGTCGAAAAAGTAAGTACTCGTCAGATTTTTGTAGGAAAATGGTAATAATGAAAAAAAAAAACGTTATTTTCCCATCGTAACGCAGGTGCACGGCGTATCGGAGGTCGGTTCAGAAGTGAGATGTCAACTCGTGCAAGTCTTGCAAAATCGCCTGGACGACGCTGTTCTGGAAGTATTGTCGGTAATGCTGGCGAGAAACCCTATGTGCAAACTCACGCCCTCGGATGTCCACTTCATTCAACGTCCTTACCGTGCACCCGAGAACGTGATCCGTTTATCGGTACAGCAACACTGCCTACGCCACATGGGAGCTCTCGGATATTATTTGCGCCAAAACATACTACAATTTTTGTACACCCCAAAGTACACGGACCCGCGTCAAGATTCGCACTTTCAAGACTATTCGCAGCCTGAGGGCTCGAACAAGCGCGTACCCGAGCGCGATATTTTTTTGTACAATCAGAGCCACTCGAGTGGTAGTCGTGGCATAGCATGTATTGCTGTAGCGATAGTCAACGATCGGGGTGATATCATTGCCACGGAAAACGAAGAGCTCTTTGGCTCGATGATCCCGTCTTGCCCCGGAATTCGTGATTTCGAAAATATCGTCGCAAGCGAGGTCTATTGGGGTGAAAATTGCGTGAGTTGAAATTTTCTCGAGTTGTTGTTATTATTTTTTTTTTTATTGCGACAATTATTATTTATTATAGGAAAAAAAAGATGCCCATTTGGCGAGAGCTTACATCGAGTTTCGCATATGGAAGCAGGGGCGCGTGAATTTGGAATCGCTCGTACAAAAGCTGAGAGCTGCACTTAAGCACGCCAATTGGGACCTGATTACCGAGTATACTTTTCTGCCGACAGTACTGGCAGAACCCACTGGTAGCGACGAGGAAGAAACTAATGAAAGATCGAGTGGTGATCCTTCGGAACTCGACTGCTACGAATTAGGCGAAAAAGGCAAGCTAAGCAAAGTTTATCACACAACGCTGGCATACTGGTTTCAATTTGCTTTGGATCTCTCGGCTCCGGCAATCAAAAAGCACGTCGTCAAGTTGGAGAGGCAGCACTCCCTACCGGTGATTCTCAAAGAACTGCAGAACCTCGTGCAGAGTCACGCGCCAGATACATCGGTCCAGACTTTTGTGCAGTGGAGTCGACAGCCATTCGTTGGCACTTTGGACAAGGATGAATTGTTACTCGGTAGATCCACTGAAGTAACGGATGGAAATATTGGTTGGCTAGAAAAAGCTGCTGAGCTTGAGAATACGGATGACTCGGTTTTTTTTCTACCTTGCGATTCAACCAACGATAATACGGGAACTTACATACGTAGTATTTTGATAGCAAGAAATTTCAACCAGTGGAAAGCCTCTTTTAGCGATAAGGTTAATGCAGATCAGCTCATGCCAAAAGGTCCTTCAACTTATACTGTCAATGATGTCTCATGATCTTAAAAAATTTTATTGAATCATAGTACAATTTTTTTTTTTTTTTTTTTTTCAGATCAAAAACTTCTTCAAAAATTCAACCCGCTCATCTCAGAAAACTCATTTGTGCCAAGACAAAGACTTCTACTAGCCAAAGTACAAAGCCAATACGTACGTACGAAACTTTCTGTACACGTTTTCACTTGAATGTATATAATGATTATTAGTTTTTTGTTGAAAAAAAATCCGAATTTAACTTTTATTTTTTTTTTCTATAGATTGTTCTTTACGTGTATAATTGGTCAAAAGAGCGGTCGGAAAAGCTAATCAAGCAGATTTCGAACTTGGGCGTCTGGCTGTCATCTCGAGCTATCTTCCATTCCAATATAATGATGCAGAAACTCGGTATTTTTCATCATCAGCCCGCGCGAAAGTACAATGAAGAAGATCAAAGCAATTCTCATTGCTATCAAATATCGGATATGGAGAGTTTAGCTAAATTCTCGACCGTAGCGCACACTGACAAAGACTGGCAGAGAATAAATAATCGCGCGTCAGGGGGTAAAGGTGGCATCGGACTCTCGTGGAGTCAATCCATGACTCAAGTTATGCGTGATGTCAAGCCCAGCGGACAGTACCCAGTGAACATTAGTGATCCCGTCGTCAAAACTATTTACGATTTTCAGGAGGTTCGACACAAAGATAAGAAAGCTAAAGGTCATTAAGATGTTTTGGTGAAATTTTTGTTGAATAATATAATGCGTAACAGTGACGCTAAAGACTGAATTAAATATTAAATCAACAGATGACTTGAACCGACTGCACACTATATGGCAAAGTAGGGGCTCAATCCCGAATATTCCGATCTCCCAGGCCACTATGAACACGTTCAAACAACACTCCCGTCTCATTCATTACTGTCACACGCCCCTGCTTTTCTTACCGGCTTGGCGGTTACAGTCCACTCCCTGGACTGTGCCACCTTTACATGTGCAGAGATTAAGGACCAACAGTAACACTGCCAGCAAGAAATACATGACTGAGTGGCACAATGAAATATGCTCAAATATGCTCACTGAGTACAAACAGTACCTCCAAGTTCTCGGATTTAATCCCATTCAAATTGAATCGCAGAAAAAAAAGTAATTTCTCGTTTTTTATTGAAACGTGATATTTTTATGAATTTTAATTTTAAAGACAAACAAGTAATATAAACAACGGTTGTTATCTTACAGGGAAAAAGAAACGCCACTCAATCAAATATTTTATCTCATTAAAACTATGCTAGGTGGGATTTTGATGTTCGAGATTCACTTGGCTGAGCCGTTTTTAATTGTGAAATTACGAGCGATCGAGTGCAGTAGATTACAAGCCAAATCCAACAGTGCCTTAGTAAACCAGGTATTTGGTGAAATCAGGGGTTACATTATCATTATTATTTTTCAACTCAATATTGCGATTTTTTTTTTCAATATTTCACACTCATTTTCCAGTTCATGTTAAGTTTCGTGGATGCCTGTGATAAGATAAAAATTAATATGCACCTACATTCCTTCACCTACGATTTTCATTTGCGATGCATACATTCGTACATAGCTAGTAACAATAGCGCCCAGTGGTCAGTGAAACGCGGTTACCATCTCACCAACTTTTTAGACGATTTTATCAAGTACTACCACAAAGCGCCAAATTACGCGAGAAATTTGATCTACAGCGGTAAGTGTGGGGAAAAAAAAAAAAAAAAAAAAAATGAAATAATCGGGCCTTCTGATTGCAAATAAAATATACCGCAGGAGACGTAACGGTGAGCAACCTCATGACACCAGCGCAGACCCTTTTCCAGTACTTGTTGTCGCACGAGCAAGCCTACGGCATGCAGGTGCTGTCAATGTCCGACGACACGAACAACGATCGCCAGCGAAGCGAGTACGTACTCGTCAGGATGCAGAACACTCCGTTCGTGGGTCAAAACGATCCCCAGAAGCAGGACACTAAAAGTAGTAACGACTTTGACGTCGTTCTCATAGTGACTAGGCTGGATCAGTATCAACAAACGGACAGTCGCGATATCACCCTCAAGTACTATCTCATGCTGACGAGCAAGCGGGAGCTCTACCCAAAACGCGAGATCGAGAACAGCAACAAGATCGGTAAATTCCGCACGGTTTACAGTGTCGTTCGGTCGGTGACGAGCTCGCAACTCGAGAGCCCAGCGGACTCGAATCCTACCTCGATGACCTCGTCCTCGTCCCTCGCCAAGAGCAAGAGCGAGCAGGCCTTGTTCAGTCCAACGACCGATTCACCACCGACGCTGGACCAAGGATTCTCCGAATTGGTAACAATTTTTTTTTTTCATCTCGGCTGTAAATAATAGCTGATGCGATTCGTCCTCTTACATTTTACTTGTGCGATTTATTGTTTTAATAGAACGCGAGCGGAGAAGTGGAAAAGTGCGAGGCCGATTTGATGAGTCCAGCACTGGCTCCGACGCCTCCGCCGGTGCCGGAGGCCCTCCTCGTGGTCAATAACACCAGCAATCCTTGCTCGAACCGATACGCGGCCAATCTCAATCAGATTCGCGAAGAGTCGATCAACTATCTCGGCTATTACGCCCCGCACGAGCAGGTAAAAATAAAATCTTTACATAATCACCCATACCCATTATATACACAACAAAATTAAATAACCCTCGATGTATTGGAACAAGGGATTATTGATCATCTGTTACACATTGTCCGATATTATGCTGCTAATATTGACAATATTTTCAGACAAAAGAGCAGCTGATGATAGCCCAGGCTAGCGCCGCCCAGCAGCACATACGCAACATGGTAATTAATATTAATGTTTTATTTTATTTCTTTGGATTCAATAATTATTCAATTAAATAACTAATATCATGGTGGAACAGGTGGAGCAGGGCGCGTTGCACTGTCGCACTCAGTAAGTTGAAACAAGCATACATTGAAAAAAAAAAAAAAAAAAAAAAACTTTTTCCTTCGTATTGCGTTATTGAGATTGTGTGTTATTGTTTAATTACGCAAGCTTGCTCTGGAATCGGCTGTTGGAAAAACGCCTGCCTCCGATGACCTACGCCGAGTTTGCGGAGCTTCGCTCGCTTGCCTGTACCGAGTCACTATCGAGTCTCGATTCGAGGCTGACTCCGATCGTTCAGCAGCCCATTTCCTGGTATCAGGGCTTGGTCAAAGTTTTGCAGAACAAGTATCAGGAGTACCACAAACAATTTAATGCGCCTGACGGTAACGTCACTCACCACATCATCCTACATCCAAAGTATATCCAGGCTTTTATGATGCTGACCATCGATTTGCACACGTCTCGAGGGGTGAGTATTTTACTTGTATGTACATACACACGCAAGTTTCACTAAACTCATGAAAAAAATTTATCAAGTGCAATTCATTTTAACTTTTACGTAAAATTTGAAAAACTTCATTTCAGGAAATATACGCGGTTTACACGAAATCGGAGCAATCTACCGGTAAATCGTTCACAATGGGAGATGTTTACAGTTTGATAGAAGACTTTGTCAATGCCTGTTGTTTCCACCTTTGGTTGGGATTGTATTCTTGAGTAGTTTTCTTATCCTCAATTTTTTATATGAATAATATTACATACGCTTGTTATTTGTACATTGTTGTCAATAAATAAAAGAATATTCTTGTTATTAATTGGATTGCTAGAAATGAAAAAAAAAAAAAATTTAGGCACTTAGAAAATAGGATTGGATTGCCGGAAACTGAAGAGACAAAATTTTATGTACAGAAATGTTTTACTCTTAAATTATGCACAAATTGCAAATACAAATGTATCTGAAACAAGCAAATCGGGAGATATCTCAGTTTTAGTATGCCGCCTTACAGTGATATAGCATACGATTCTCAGATGTCAAGAGAGGGGTAGCTATTTTACTCAGACGTCAACCGTGTGTTGATTTGGTGGACTGGCATACTTTTTTCTATAAGTATAGTTTTTCTTTTGACGTATACTTAAGACATATTTTTTTTTTTTCAATTCGTTTCCGCAATAATCATATCAGACATGTCCGATCGTTTGTTGTCATATCCGGAAGAAGAAATAGCAGTTTATATCTTTAAACTTTTTAAATTGAATGTTTCTTCAATTTGATTTGATCGTTGATCATACCTATCTTTTACAGCTCTTGATACAGTTAAGCTAATTTATTTGTTCAGACATCCACATTTCTACCAAGTTATAATATAGTAATAAAGGTATGCGCGCACGCTAAGTCTTCGCTTCAGCTAGATATCATAAAACATGTATCATTCCTTCTCTGGCACATCATACATTGGTATTGCTAAGTATAAGTTTACTTTTCCTCTTACAAAAATCATGTGAAAACAATCGCATAGAGTGTGTATATGATCTGAGCAAAAAACTGTAATATCGATTACTTTTTCATAAGTTACAGAGCCTTCATATAATTCGCGGCTACAATAAGTGAGAAAAACAAGAATTAAAAAGGAAAAAAAATTATTGAAAACTGGAATAAAAAAACGACTTATAAGCATATAAAACGGCACATAGAGTGAACCAACACTTGTATGTCCAAGTTTTATTATTTTTTTCACTCATATTACGTGCACAGATCGATTTATGATTACTTTTATCTTCACATCTGTTTATACTTAGATAACCTTATTTTTTAGCCAATTTTAGTGGCAAATCATGTTTTTCAATTTTTCAATTTTTTTTGTTTTTTTTTTTATTTTTTAATAAACTAACGAATTAATTAGCACTCTGCATTGAAACATAAAAATCTAGCAATGTGTCTCATGAAGTAACTAATAGTAATTGTAACGAAAGAGAAAGAAAAGAACAACTCAATGTTTAATAGAAAAAGAAAAAAAAATTAGAGGAACATCATTGGGATACCGTTTCAATCAGGATTTGTTAATACAGCTGCCGAAGTTTGAATTTGTGAAAAATGTAATTTTTCATTCCAAGCTCGTTCTTAAACTGCTGCTAATAGTTTAACGTTGACGGCAACTCCAAAGTGCGTAGTTCCATCCTCGGTCATATTCACCAGGACGACTTTGCCTAGGGACACTTTAACTGACGCAGCAACAGCGAACGCTCGTTCGGACCTAAGTTTCTTGACGTCTTGGACTTTTTCTTGAAATCTGGTCAGCTCGAGTGAACGAGCATCACCATCGTGCGAATGATCAACACACCAAGTGGAGGATACCGTACATCGAGACTTGAGTATAAAAAATGAGGCACAATTTCACAATCACGAGAAAGAGAAAAGCATTTCTTCTCTTCTTATCAAGCTCCACTTCCGTTGTGCGGCCGCTGCTGCTGCCTCTTATTAACTGTTTCCCAATGAATGTGTCCATGTTCCATTTTGCGAATCGATGACGGTTCTTCAATTCTCGTCACCGTTTCATCATTTTTGTTTGATTTTTTTTTTTAAACTTAACCATGCATGAATAATATACTTGTCCTTCAACTTTTTTTTTTGTATTTTTAAATCTTTTTACTTTTTATCTTTTAGGAAAATGATCGTCGATTATAAGTGTCGTTATTTTTTTTCTTATTGGTAGCAAACAGTCTTAATGACGAGTATAGGTTAATCTTCATGTCGCGTTTCAAAATTCATGTGTAGTCCATTAGTGAGTAGAGGTTAATGCGTCATATTGCGTGCTGATGTAGGTAGCTCATTTTTTGGGTTTACGATATACACCATTTAAATATGTTTGCGTGGATATATATGTGTAAATATATATTTCGCGTCACGGGCAGTTCTTCCGACATTTTTTAACGTGTGATTTATCTTGTTACTTTTTTCTTATATTCCCACAATCTTCCCCGACTTTCACCTATGGACGTCACGTTAAAACTGTTATTTTAACCACACGTCATTTTAAAGTTCTCTTCAACGTATTTTCAAGTTTTTTCCCCTATATTAGTAACATCGTTTCTTCGCATCGCACTTTTAAAAAAATTCTATAATCTCGCCCATGTGTAAATCTATCCCTTTGTAAACGAATAGCATATCTTCCATCAGTTCGTCTTTTGGGGGGGTTGCTGTATGTGTGGGATATTTGCCGCCGCGACATGACACTCGGAGGGCGGTATCCTTCTAGCCACTGGTACCATTGACCATCGCCTCCTTGGGCTTATTGTTCTGAGGGACACGTGAGTAACGCGGCCGTTGCTCACGCTGGCCCTTGGGGCCCTGTTGTTGCAGCTGTTGTGGCTGCTGTTGTTGATTGCTACCACTGTTGTTAATGGATACTGAGTTCTCATTGTTTGATTGCACAATATCTTTGTTTACAGCGTTAGAAGCACTTGGTTGATCATTTTGGCCGGCATTGCTTCCTGAAAATTAATTTTCATTACCGGTTACAAATAATTTACGATAAATACAATCTACAAAAGATAATATCGTGGAATATTGAAAAAAAAAGTAATTTTTATTTCTTACATCATGGAAGTTGAGTTTTTTAAATTGAGTTAAGTAATACATTGGCAAATATTTTCATCATTAGACGTTATTGTGGAAGACGATCGAGATAATAAACAAAAAAATCGCTTTCTAAGTCATTTACCTCGTCTACTATTGGATGGCGTGGCACTGCGCTGACGATAGCGTCGTAAGCGCCTTTTAGATCCTTTGATACCACCTTCCATGCTTGATACCGATTCTATATATACATAAACCGTTGTGACCATCTATTAGTCATGACTATTGTCCATATTTTTTTTTTTTTTTTTTTTTTTTTTTTTTATATACACCATTTTAGTTACGAAAAAATATTAATTGTGTAAGAGTAAAATAAACTCGTTTGGGTTAGTAACAGGAAAAAAAAATACATTAAAAAAAAAAAAAAAAAAAAAAACTTTTTCCTTCGTATTGCGTTATTGAGATTGTGTGTTATTGTTTAATTACGCAAGCTTGCTCTGGAATCGGCTGTTGGAAAAACGCCTGCCTCCGATGACCTACGCCGAGTTTGCGGAGCTTCGCTCGCTTGCCTGTNTTATATACACCATTTTAGTTACGAAAAAATATTAATTGTGTAAGAATAAAATAAACTCGTTTGGGTTAGTAACAGGCATTAGAGTTAATTTATTTGGTTATAAGTTTCACAACGCAGGACAGTTAGATGGTCACAAAAGTTTGTTTTATGTCAAGGGGTGTTCCAAAGCAAAGCTCTGCCTCAAGATCATAATTGTCTGTACATCTTATTTGAAACGCATGAAATTATGGCGGTTCACAAGAGTCAGTGAATGTTATTCATATATTTATATTGAAGTGGTATAAATAGATGAAAAAAAAATTTCACGTTTTCTATGAAGCGTTTTCCATCACCTTACAGGGAAAGACTACTTCAAACTTTTGAAAACTATTGCACAGACAATGTTTATGTAAACAACAGGCAAGTTGTCAATCATAACTTTGGTTAACATGCAGATCACTCATAACACGGCGGATATTCGCCGAACGAAAGTGCTAGTAGTAATGGGAATACGATCATCGAATGAACCAAGTTCCTTACCTCGATCGACGCTCGAAACATCTTGGCTGTCGAGGAAGGTTTCTTCGTCATCCGTAGTCCGGCGGCGATCGTCCCTACGGTCTCGGCGCTGCATGTTGGGTCGGCCACCACCCTGTCTACCACTACTCGGACCATAAGTGCTACTGCCACCCTGACCTCCCTGATGATGACCACCTCTCGGCGGCAGGTCACGAACTCTATCCTCGCTGTTATCCATGTCCCGACGCATTCCTGCAAATTTACAAATACTATGAGCTTACAATGAAAAGCTTTCAAGATCCAGTAGTTGTAGATTTGTTTAGAGCAAAAGTAGCTCGACTTTTGTTTTGAAAGTTAAACATTCTAGTCTACAGGTCTTCGTAATTTTACCACTGTTGTGTCTTGTAGGAGCTCTGCCCCTTCCACGACCTCGAGTTTGACCACCTCCTCGACCACCTCGATTGTTACCACCGTCCTCGAGACCTATTGGCAACCCTCGCCTCGTTAGCTGGAAATTGTGCATTCCTGGGCCTTGGTTCGTTCCATGAATACTTCTCAACTGCTGATCAATTTCAAGTTTTTCTTGGCGCAATTGCTCAACTTCCTGCAAAATAAAAATTTAATTCATGAAGTTGAACACTGTAACAAAACAGTGGTAGTTGATTGAAAAATATTTATAGTTTTAAACGGAAGTTTACCTTAAGGTGGGCCAAATGATATTCCAACAGCACTTTGGCATTCGAAATACTTTCAACGGTACCCACAAAGACAAAAGGTACTTGGCCTTCTTCTCTTGGAATTGTTGGCTGAGGTTCATTATCACCTTCAATTTTAACTCGCACCTAAAATTATTGTAACGTTAAGTAACATTAAAAAAGCAATGGCCATGTTTTTTAAAAAACATCCAAAAACAGTTAATTTCTTATACTTACAACGCCACTTTTATCCACGATTTCTTGGATGATTCTTCCGTTCTTACCAATAACTTTGCCAACAAGAATACGTGGAACTTGAATTGACTCTTCACTATACTCCAATATGGAACGAGCTTTTTTTACAGCATCATGCGTCTGTAGTAGATAACAACAATAATGATATACAAGTACTCAGAATTGCTCTTGCATCCTAATCAAGTGAAATACGTACTTCACCATAAATTTTAAAAGTACACGAGTTTTCCTCCAATTCTATATTGGTGATTCCATCGACCTTTCTTGCTTGCTGAATGTTTGCTCCATGAGCGCCTATAGCAAGACCCATCAAATCCTCTCTGACATTGAACTCATCCGTGTACCTGCATGCAGTACATAAATAAATTGATTCATAATTGGTATTTCATATGAATTTAACATTAAAAGAAATGAACTGTTCTTTGTTACGAGTCTTGAGTAATTATGTCTATTTTGAATATAGTACGAATTTTAAATTAAAAAAAAAAATGTTACATAATTACTTGATGAATTCTTACAACTCAAAATTTTCAAAACGTGCAAATACATGCAATACAAGCATTAGGTGCCTAGTTATACAGAGAAAAAACTCATTTTTGTCAAAGTGATCGATGCTTTGTTTTATAATACCTAAAGTTTTTGTAAATTTTTATATACTTCCACTTCAAGTTATCCAAAGTAATATTATAGCTTTTTTTAACCAAGGGACAAGCAGACTGGTCATTACATTAAAAATGACAATCATAAAATTTTGGCTGACTTGATAACTTCGTTTGTTATTATTAAAAATAAAAAAAGCATTTTTAAAGTTATAAAATAGACAAACTCAACAAATATTGGCAATTGAATGAGGCAGCTACCATTTTCACTAGCCACAATTTCTAAAATATCACACACTTGCTAAGGGAATAATGTACCAAAATTTTTGTTCATTTACGTACAAAGTGTGGTTGAGAGTGTGGGCAGTGTGTACGCGCGTGCGTGTGTGTTTGTGTGACTAAAGCATACAGTTTTCATTGACTACATGGCATTTGTGGCATGCACACTGAGAATGTGTATTAGATGGAAAATTTGGAATGTACAATAGATAGAAAGAAATGTAAATTTTTGTATAAAAATACAACAAGCTGGTAATTTACAGTGGTCCAGACCACACAGCATGGGTCTCACCTTGAATTTGTTTTCACTCCTGTCTCAAAGTCTGAGACACGTTGATATACAAAGTTGGAAGGTTTAAATTTGCTGAAATGAGAAACAGATTCCTCGTTTACTTCAAAATGGAGTCCTCATTTTAGAATATCTTAAATTTAGAATTTTTAATGGGCTCCAGACAAATACTTTAAAGTTATACTTAAAATTAAAAAGTTCATTTGTTCAAATATTCGTATTGAATATATTTTTTAATTTCTTTTTTTTTTTTTTTTTACGTAAGTTAACTTTACAATTAATTGAGTATTAAACTATACAATTAATGGATAAGTAATTTTTCAAGGACTATTAAAAAAATAACAACAATAACTTTCTGAGTGATCAGATAAATTTTTTGTCATGTTAATAATAAGAACTTTTTTAATTTTCAATTTAAATGAGATCCTACTAAAGGAAACGATTGCTAAGCATCTGAATTTTAATATTATTCGAAAATCTGGATTTTAATACTGGTGAAAAGAAAATAAAATTTGAAGTGACCCTGTCCTACGCCCTTGCCATTCTGTCTGTTGGTTGGCGTAATGATTAAATGGATAGATAAATCGCTTCATGGATTCTTCTCGATCCATTCGTTTTTAGACAACTCCTATCTCTGTGTACACATATAAGAAAAACGCTGCATGCACAAAACTTATCGCTTTGGCCAAAAAGCTATTAAATGATGATTTTGTCTGGTAGTTATTCTATTAAGAATTAATTTTTTTTTTTCATCATAAACAAAACATCGATCATTTAGGTTAATTTTCCAAGAATTTAATGATTTGCGATTGCTCTGTGTAATTCATAGTGGATAAATAATAACGTATTAAAGGCACTTAAGAGTTTCAAAAATTTTTTTTGGTTATCATTTTTGGTTATAATTTGAGGTATCGAGACTATCAGACTTAAGAGGATTGGTGTTAAATTGTTATGAAGAAGAAATTTTAACACATCTTCAATGTATAACAAACGATATTTACAACGACTAGGGTGAAAATTGTATCAGCAAAACCTGAATGAATATTTAAGAAATAATATTCACATTGTCCTATCAAGCATATTCCACCTTTAAAGATAATAAAAATTACAGACAGGATGGTAGCAAGGACATTGAATGTTTATGTCTGTACATACATATTAGTAGGTGTATGAAAATGAGGATGAAGTGATTAAAATGGGTTTCCCAAATCGGTAGTATTGGTTTATTGATTCAACAAATACTTACACTCCAGATGTTTGAAGCTTGGTGGATTCCAACTGGCGAGCAGCTTCTTCTGTCCTTTTCAAAAGCAGGACCTATAGTCGTGATAAAAAGAAAAAAAAAGATTTCACTCATTAGCATCAATTTTTGCAAAATATTTGTTTTACGGAAAAAACAGTAACCTTTTGTTGTAAGTTGCGTAAATGCATGTCCTGAACCATACTACAATGTCGACGTATATTTTCATTACGGGAGATGGCCAGCAGTACTCCTCGTTCAGGCACATATCGACACACAGCTGCTTCTATTACTTTTGCAAATTCCTTATGTACATCCAGCTTGGCACTAATAATGAAAAGTTTTAACAGCATTAAACATGGACATTATTGGCTACTTGAAATGTAATTCTAACAACTTACAATTCTCGTAGCTCCTCAGGTACTTCTATTTCAATTTTGTGAAATGTGTTCTTATCGATGGGTGGATTTGGATTTTTCGGTCTTAATCTCTCGCTGGCAACAATTTCAGTATACGCACAGTCCCATCCCAGATATTCAATGACTTGAAAACCACCCTTGGTCATCTGTGATAGGTAGAAAATTTGATAATTACATGAAAATGTATAGATAATGGTCTCATTTTTTTAATCAAATTCAAGGCAACAAATGACAAATAAAAGAACTAAGACTAACATTGATGATGGCTCTCCACCATCCACTGGCCTCTTGGTCGTTTGCCCTGGAAAATACTTCGATCTCCTGATTTTCCTGAAATTCTGGCTTAGTACCTTCCTTGGGTGGCAAGCGTACTTTAGAAAACGGAAATTTGGATTCTGGTTGCCAACTAAAAACAGAGTACAAAATTATTGAAACCCATCAAGGATAAATTCAAATAACAATAATAATGATTTGAAAACAATATCAGACTGTTACAAATAAAAATTTTTTAAAATTACAGATATCCAATGTTGCTCAACTTGATCAAGAGAATTGTAAATGTTAGAGGTACTTTGATGTAAAAAACTGATTTAAGCGCAAGTTTGAAACTATAGCAAAGCAGGCGAGCAATGAAAAAATCCCAATGCTTAAGCGCTATTAAATCCTAATTAAATCAGTGTTAAACTTACTCATTTTCGAATGACACGAGAACTTCCTCCTCGAACACGTCCCTGACAAAGGCCTGCAAAAAGACAAAAGAAAAAAAGGAATCATCAAAGCCATCTTAGATTTCTATATCAAAAAAGAAGGAAAAAAAAAAATAATAATAACAAGGTCCAGGAAGAACTGAGCGGAAGAATGACCGGGAGAGATAGAGAGAGGTAAAGAAAGTAAAGGATAGAGAAAGAGAGCGAGAGGAACGGCAAGGGAGAAATAAGAGAAAAAAAAAGCTTCCACAGCCACAACTATACAGGCTACGGCACCCAGTTGTAAGAGTCCCCCGCTCTCCCGAAAGAGGAACCCATGCTCTCGCTCTTTGGAGCCGCTCACGCAGACGCGCACCTCCAGCTACATTTCCAAAAAAGGTGTTCCCCTGGATATAATACATAATAACCGCGCGCACTCGTATCAGCAGAAAAATAAGAGCTGTAACTTTCTTTAACATGCACCCACGCCACGCCACAACAAACGCATGCATATATAATATATACACTCCCACGTAAATTCGGAAGAGCAAAGGGTTCAAGGAGCTATCTTATTTTTCTGGAAGGACAAGACGCAGGAGAGACGCTTGATGGCCTTAGGGCGCGCGAGGAGTAGGGCCAGCGCTGGGGATGAGAGCGAGAGAGCGTCGTTGCGCGCGGCTCGACCAAGAGAACCGGGGGAGGGGGCCGCGGACGCATCATCCTTCTTGAGGACGAGGTATCTTTGTCCACACCCCCCCCTTCGCCCCGGCGCGGGGTTGAATTCTCGAGCAAGTAACCACGATGCCGGCATTAGAAAGGAGAATGGGAAAGATGAATAGACTACGGGGAATAAAACAGATTTGAGGATGAAGAAGTGCGGCAGGAGACAAGAGATTGGGGAATGAAAGAGCGACCGCTCTCTTTCAATCACCCTTCATGTATAAGTGTAGCGCGGGGCTGTCGGGATGAAGTACAGGCTCATGGACTGCCGGGTTGGCCAATGCTGTCTCATCTAGCCCAGAACTTGTCTGGTCGGGCCGACTCAGGACTCACGGGCCCGTACTATTCGTAATAACGCACCTTGTAATATGCTCCGTTTTCGCCGCATACTTCGACTGCGAGATCCTCCATCTTGTGTGTGTGACGGGCGCCGACCGACGACGACGGATGCGGCGACGACGACGACGACAAGACGCAAAACTTGGCTCAGCCTGCGCTGTCTTATGCGCTACTTTTGTTGCTGCTGCTATTACTAATATTAGATAGTATACTATTGCCTGTCGAAACCACTAAAAACTATCAACCACAAACACACATACACAAACACACACCGCCAGAGATTACTGATCTCTGACACCGCGAGCAACCCAAAAAGTCCGGAGCTCTGCTGAGTTGCTTATTGCTCTGATGATGATCTCTCGGCGCCGTCGTCACTCTCCAGATGACAGTAACGTAGGTAATAAGGTAGGTGGGTATAGGTGAGTAGGCTGCCTGCCCGCCTATCTAATCGATGGGTTTTTTTATTTCGTGTGCCTCGTGCCGGCTCTGTTTCTCGTCGATAGATCCCGTATTCCGTCCAGGCAGTTCGCCATGCGCGAAGGTAGTGCAAGAAGGTACAACCTATACTGTAACTAACGCTAGAGTATACCTTTCGCGGCACTCGCGGCACACACAGCCATAGACAGACCGATTAACACACCATGCATATGGTAGGTATACCTATGCACCGAAACCAACCAACCCCCAAACTTCAACCGGTGCGACGGATAAGTGTATTGCGCCCACACCTTTTTTTTAAATAATAATATTTACTTTACTTTTTTTTGACAAATATATACTTAGGTAAATATGCTAACGAATTGTTTGATTAACACAAATAAATGTCGAATTCAGCACTGACTTATGACGATGAGGTTTTACAAATTCACGAAACGTTTTACCCCTATAATAATGCATCAACATGTATTATCCGAAGTTGCTTGTTTTTGCTGGTTACCAATAAAGGAATGTCTGATTGTAACAATTGACGGTTTAGCGGAATCCACAATGAACGTTTCGTCCTGGGCAATTGCTGGTTATTTAAAATCCTGTAGATGTCTTTTTTTAATGATCAATAACTTTTTTAATCCTATACGTATGAATATTTGATTACGGATGACGTGAAAGAATAAGCTGTAGCAGATCACTGCTGATTTACTTTTGACAAAATTGCAGATGTACTTGTAAGCAATTCGAATTTCCCGCGCCAAAAATGACCCAAGATTTATTTAAAGATTTCTTATAGATGTCTTCTAGGCGGTGAATGTCCATGGCGGTGAATGTCCCGATCAGAAACCTTAGTGAGGTGCTGATGGGGTCCACTCTAGGCTGCCAAATTAACCACATGTGGTCCTAGAATGCCATCGTCACGGGGCGTAGATGTGGTCCTCTCTAGTGTGCCCCAATAGGAAAGAAAGTTTACCTAACCCTTTGTATTTTTTGTGTAGGTACATCATTACATTTAATACAATTATCATAAGAGCATGTGCCTGATTTACCATGTGTGCTGAGCAGATTATGGAGTTTAGCAGATAAGGAAGAATTAAATTACGGTCACATATATTTAACCCAAACACAGAAATATATAATGTTTTCGCTAGGTTTTAGCTAGGTTATTGGGGGAGCCTACGATGGACCCTCAGTTCGCCCCGTGACGGGCCTAATGGGGTACCAACTAGGCAGCCTAAGGGGGACCCCATTTACTAAGGTGGCAAACCCATTATAAATGTCTGATCGGGAACATGTAATCACATGTATATATAGATATATCTTGTGAGAAGCCGTTGACACCCCGCCTTTGCGGCAAGTTTACAATTTTTACGGCCACTTTTTGCAAAAAAATCAAGACCGCTAGATGGCGCTGATCCAAATAATTATTACTACTCTTGTCATAGAGCCGTGTAATCGGAGATAAACCAGCCGCAACTAATATCAGATATCCTTAAATATATAATATTTTTAATATGACATAAAAAGTTGACGTTGTCTAGGCTATTTGCGGCAAAAATACAATTTGTCTTTTACCTGAAAATCGACCTCCAAAAGTATTGATATGTATAAAGTTAATATGTATATATATATACATATATATATATATACATATTAACAAATCTCTTTTCCACGTAACGATGTAACAATTATAAACTGTACTTATAAGTATACTTAAGTAAATGAAATAGAAACCGTCTGCTTTGCAACTTAATTGTTGTGTGCGCGCTTTCGTGCACTCGTACATGTTTTTGTGCACTCGTACCTCGTACGTGTTTTTTGTGAACTCCTCACGTCCTCACTCCTCACTCCTCATATACTTGTCTTGTGCGTGTTTATACGTTTTTATGCAGATGTCGTCGTGACCGGGCTTCCGTAGTCCGTATACTTACGTATCGTATCGGAGAATCAGAATCGTGAGTACATATATAAATATAGCGGAGCGGACAGTACAGCGTCGGAACGGACTCCGAAGATTGTAATTGGGAGTCGAAGTTTTGGAGTCAGGCCTTGAAGACGTCGAGATTGAGAATTGAGACTACTACACGAATGACTATAAGCCGCGGAGGTGACCGAATAAGATATAAATTGAGTAAAGAACGAAAAGGTGATAGTACATCCTCTACTCTTGCAATGTTACTATACACTATGAGTCAACAAGCTCAACACGCTCCATTCTAAGTTAACGTATGGGGTTGGGCTTATCATACATTTAAATCAGTTACTGGTGTGGAAAATTGTAAAGAAAGTATCATATGTACTGCTGCGTTAGTAATACTTTACACTTCAGTCGAGTCGGTAAATTTTGTTTTCTCCGAATCTTTGAAAGTATATTAAAATAGTCCCGTATGTATACAGTGGATGTGCTTTTGTGCTTAGTGCAAGTTATTATAGATAAAACATAGGTAAGTAGTAAGTACTCGAAGATTTAAGATTTCAAGGTCTGGATGGTTGTCCATTGTAAATTTGATACTCTGATTCTCGTGTGTATTTATCAGACTTATCAACAGATGAGCTTCTATACGTCTATGTGAGAGCTTATCAGGGTGCAACACAACAAGCAATAGTATATGATGTTTTCACCAATGAAAAGACGAATTTTTAATGTTTTTTTTTTTACTGCTACATCAGCTTTTGAATAGTAGATAAATACACACAAGTATTGTATACCTACTTCTTCTCGTAAGCATGGATAGGCGTTTATAGTCTCGTTTGATTTATCATACTCATTGTATAATATAAGTATAAATGTATGACGTATGTATCACGCTTGCAGAAAAAACTTTCGCTTTACTTTACTTCTATACATCAAGTATAATGGACATTGTCATCAGCTCTACATTTTGCCCTGCACTTTTCTGCTCGCAATTAACTCTTTTTTTTCCTTGATCGAATGGTATCTCTCCTTTTTTCTGAAGAGAAGTGCCCGTAAGTTTAATCTACGTAGATATATCTCGTAATCTGCACTTTTGTGGTAATTCCAATATATCTATCCTTATAGTATCTGTTTATATAGCACTTACCATGACCACTAAACAGACTAAAGATATAATATATCTGTATAGATAAAAATGTCGAGCACCATCATCTCAGTTTGTGAAAGTCTGAGAGTTGGGCTGCAACATTTGTTTTGGCGATTTTTTATTTGACACTGCACCAAGTTTACCTGGATACTATTCGTTGCGAGAGTGAGCGTAGTTTTTTTGGAGTCGAGACCTGTCTACGAGAACTAGTATCTGCTAGTCTTATATATTGAGCAAGCCAAGTCTTGTGTGTTTGCTTGACAAAATAACAAATGAGCAACACGGTGCTGTTATTGTATACTTACCCACTTACTTTAAAACACTAAATCGTTCGTGGTTCATATGATGTGGTTGAACATATTATTATAGAGTAATCAGGAGTATAAGTATCATGAGCACCGTTTTTAATCACTCAATTTAGCAGCTGTTTTAGCGTCTAACTCATTTAATTATTTGCAGAGTAAAAGAAAAGATATAAATACTGTTTCCGTAATTTAAGGATTGAATTTTTTTTTCCCTACAATAACTACATTAATTAAGAATTATTTAGCAAAAATTAAAAAGTACATGTGTACTTGTCATGAAAATTTTTTTATGAAAAAACGTTATATTTTCTTATCTGTGGAGTAGTGGATGGAAAAGTACCACAGTAAAACTCGGTCTTTCATTGTCGTAATTGTATCCATTTAAACTTAAGCAATCAACATAGCCTTGAAACAGCAATAATTAATAAAGAACTAAGCTGACCAAACAATATCTAGGGTAAATACTGCAACACTTTTATATAAAAAGTAATAGATGACCCACATGAGTTTTTTTTATACAAATTTCAATGTTAGAAAATGAGTCATCAGCTGATGACAAAAAATTTATCAAAATTTTACGCGATTCTAATAAGAAATCAATTAACATGCGTCATATGTACACGACTAGTTCAAACTGAATTTTTTTTTTCTTTTCATTATTTGAATGTAAATCTTTAGATTTTACTCCTAATTTTGTCAATTCACTTTGTAGGTTACAAAAATTTACAGTTGAATGCTTGAGTACTAATTGTCTCTGAAAGGCAAGAATGACAGTTTGGTGAACCAATTAGTGTTGAAGAATGGTGAAGGACAACGAATTAGGATCAGCAGGATGCAGTGGCATAAACTCAAGGCAACGGAGGCTAATTCCACGCTTCTCTCTCAGAAGACTACCATATTCACTTCCAATTATAGGTCGTCGAATTTCCAGGCCTCCTCCATCTGGAAACAGAAATACCAAAGGTGTTATTTTATTACATTTCGATTAATGTTCCAATCGTGATTGGGAAATCAAGATTAATCTCAGGTATTGTTTCAGGAAAAGAATCATTGAACAAGCCGCAAGATATAGAGAAAGGTGAAGCTAAAATTAATAATGGTTCAGGCCATGTGCAATATCATTCCGGAGACTTGCATAGAACATTCAGTAAAGGATCTGTTCTTTCAGCGGTTGCAGGAAAAGTAATGAGGCTTCTGTAATTGCAATATTTAACGTCTATAAAAAACTACTGTAATATTTAAACATTTATATAACTATTTCAGAGCAATGAAAATGGGATCATAGAATGTCCTCTGTGCCTGGCAGAGCTTCCAGCAGAATTGTTTCCTACAATACAGTCATGTCATCACCGTAGCTGTTATGACTGCTTTCAACAGTATTTGAAAGTTGAAATATCTGAATCTAGAGTCAACATAGCTTGCCCAGAATGTACAGAACCTTTACACCCAAATGGTACGTACAGAATCATTCGTCTCATTGTATTATACAGTAAAATTGCTTAAAACCTCAAAGTTTTCATAATTATCATGCGTGTCGATATAGATATTCGAATGATTCTCAATGATCAAGTTCAATTGGAAAAGTACGAAGATTTCATGGTGAGACGAGTATTGGCAGTTGAACCGGATGCAAGATGGTGTCCAGCACCAGATTGCAGCTATGCTGTGATCGCTTCTGGCTGTGCCTCGTGTCCAAAGCTGCGGTGCGAAAGACCTGGTTGTGACTCCTGCTTTTGCTATCACTGCAAAGCTCGATGGCATCCAAACCAAACATGCGACGCTGCACGAGCACAGCGTGCACAGTATTATGAACGTAATTCACCCCTCAATTTTAATCAAATAGATGCTCAACAGAGTAAGTTGATTGTTTTTGAGTATTTTTATACTTGAAAAATTTCACTTTGAATGTTATTTTAAACTAGGGGATGATATTAAACCTTGCCCTCGCTGTCAAGTGCTCATTTTTAAAATGGACGACGGCAGTTGCAATCATATGACGTGCGCTGTGTGCGCAGCGGAGTTCTGTTGGCTCTGCATGAAAGAAATCAGTGATCTCCACTATCTTAGGTAATATTCAATTTAAGAGATTAAAATTATCTGAAATTCGTACGAAAAAAATTAAAACGATAACGACTTTCTTCTTCAGTCCTTCTGGTTGCACGTTTTGGGGTAAAAAGCCATGGTCCCGTAAAAAGAAAATTCTCTGGCAGCTAGGAACATTAGTCGGAGCTCCGGTAGGCATTGGCCTTGTAGCTGGTATTGCCGTTCCTGCCATAATCATAGGTATGATCAAATTATTCCATGCTTTCAAAAACCTCAGTTTCTTCTTCAAATGGCTTTAAGTGTGTAACTCTAATCGATTTCTACAGGTATCCCTGTATGGGTTGGACGAAAATTGTACACCAGGTACAAAAAAGTCAATAAGCACAAAAGAAATGCATTTGTCGCTGGCGGAGTCACGGCATCGGTAAGTTTGTTTAAAATGTTTATTTTTTTAATAATTTTTCTGTCTCATGTTATCACTACATAGAAAGTTAATAATAACTGATGTTATTAATATATTGACACAACACCTGACCCCACAATAGTAAGTTTTTATGTAGTCCTATGAGTAATTATTTTAACCATCAAGATTGTCTGTCCAGAAAAACTTTCTTTCTACTAATTTTTGTCATGTTATTCCAATCTAGTCAATATCTATTGAATTTTTTAAATAGGAACTTTTAGATATCATTACTTAAAATTACATATTTAATATTATTGCAAATCGATAAAAAATACTTCTATTCTAATAGTAACACAATTTAACAGTCAATATTTCCTCAAAGTGGAAAATATTCGCGTTAATCCTAAACTTTTGATGATACGATTTTCGAAAAGAAAAAAAAAATTAAATGATATTTCTTAAGATAAAATGATATTATGTTAAAAAAAAAAAAAAAACTTCAATATTTGGAACAAAATTACCGAAATTTAAGTATATTCTACTGAGACAGATTTTCCTCGTCTAATGCAATGCTTTTTTACGTTTTGTACATGGACTTATCATAAATATGTTGAGACTCTATCGAACTTTTAATAAAGTTTTATTTCAATTATAATAAATTCGAATACATCGCAGAAAACAAACAGCAGGCGATATGACCATGTCTTATCGATATTTGAAGAAATTCTTGTGATTTACAGGTATGTGATGAGCATCGATAAATACGTATAAAATTTTCAAATCGCTATGAAGCAGCGAAAAAGAGTAAAATATTACAATTTAGTATGTATGTATGCACGAAAATTTGAACGCAAACAACAATGTTAGATAAGGATCGCTCTGCTTAAAAAATTGTTTTAAAACATACTGCAATTTATTATCCACGCTTTGATTAATCAGACAACGCTTAATTAACGATTGGCATTATGATTCATCGATATCATTTCAACGTGGTTTTTATATCACTTTTTTTTTCTCATTAATACGTTAATGATTCGTTACGATTAATCAACTCTATAACCACCTGTTACGTGTCAAGTGGCTCGCTAATTGTCGATACTCTTATTCTAATTTCGTGTGTGCATGGACTGTTCTTGAAACAGCAGTACCTAATAATCGTGATTTGATATTTTTTACCATAAGTATAGCGTAGCTTTTAAAAGTGAAATAAAATGAGCTCTTTGGGATACGGTGCATTATGTATATGATGCGAGACCTGTTGATGCTGAGTCATTTTTATTTTCCATTCTCGGTATAAACATAAACAACAGGTATCGCGAAACGTGTAACATTGAATGTTGATCGTTTCGTATAGTATCTTGTTGTAACAATTTGATTACCAAAGTTCAAAAGGATTTCAGGATGAATGTAATAAAGAAGAGAGAGAGAGAGAGAGAGAGACAAGTAAAATCAAGTAAGATCGACTCGCGGCTCGCTCCAGTGGCTTCTCATCGCAGTCACACGAAGAAAATTCGAAGGACGTGCATGCGTCGCACACACGGCCTTGTCGCACAACCAATCGCCTTTCTCTCTCTTTCTTTTCCTTTTGTACACACATGCTTTGACGTGCGCTTCGTGGCGGAAAGACTATATCCTATACTGGTATACAATATCGTTCGGGTTTCCGCTCATCTTTGGAATTCCATGTGGCAAATATAGTAGCGTGACGCGTACGCGCGTGTCACTGGACGATTATTTGTATTTTTTTTTTTTTTTTTTTTTTCTTCATCAAATACTAATATACTGTGGCTGTGTCGTGTTTATCCAATGTCACACGATATAATTTTATAGACCTACTACAAAAGCTTATGTTTTATTTTCAATCAAAGAGCTATTTAATCCCATATTACGAGCACAAGGTACTACTTTCTTTTTTTATTTTATTTTTTTTTATTGTATTTTTTTCTTTTTTTTCATTATTATTAATGTACTCTATTTTTTATTTTCATGTCGCTTTCTCTTATGTACTTCCAACCGTGAAAACACACAAGCAATAACAAAAAAAAAATTAGCTAGATTGTGGTTGCTCTTTGACAACATCACACGTATACAATTTACGAAGAAACATCAGAAAAACACAATTGGGCAACGCGGTCTTTTTTTTTTTAATTTTTCAAAGAAACGCGCGTACATTGCACCAAATAGAGCCAAAAACGACAGTTGATAAAAAATATAAAACAAACATTCGGCTACTGCAGAGCTATCGCAAAGCGAGAGATAAACGCGCGATTTATTTAAACGATCTTCGCATCGCACGTAAATGTAGCATATAAATGTGTGTGTGTATATATGTATCGGTATGGGGGGCAGCTCAGACGATATCGTCCAGTACAGGTGGCTTGATAATGTCCCCGATCGCGAGAACTCCGTCGGCGTGCAGGTCCTCGAGCACGTCGATGAGCCGTTGCTCTGTCATGGGGTCCCCGAGGGCAACGTCGACCGAGCCGATGCAGAGCAAGAGCGCGAGGAGCTGCGAGCTTCGGTAGTCCCGATCGAGATCGGCCCGGTTGTAACCGAGCCGGCCGGTGACGTCGAGTCCCAGAGCCGCACAAGTCCCGGTTAAACTGGCCCAGTAGGTGTCGAGGAGGCTCGAGGTGTGACGCCGGCGCAACTCGCTCGGGACACTGCTCACCAGGAGCAGGGCCACGTCGTTAGTCGGCCGGCTGTAGGTGACCATCTGCCAATCGAGGATCGCGCACTCGCAGCTCCCGCTGTTGTTACCGTCTTTCTCCGTACCCATGCGAAACAGCAACTGTTTGTGACAATAGTCGTACACAATTAAATATACATACACGTAACATCAACGCCGCGTGCCCATTGAACACAAAATTGTGGACTCACGTTGTTGCTCCAAAAGTCCGTGTGGGTGATGAGCGCGATGGGTCCCTCCGGCGCCAGGAGGCTGGCTATCACCTCCTTGGTGCGCGGCCTCAGAGCCAATAGGGCCTCGAGCACTGCTTCCAGGCCCGGCCGGCGCTCCAAGAAGCGCGCCAACTGTGGCAAGCCCCGTTCAACTGCGGTAGAATGACACATGTATGACTTACTTGATGGATAATGATAACAATAACAATAATAATGACCATGATACTGACCGAGCTGCTGGTACGAGTCGGTCGCCCTGGCCGTCTGGAAGAGAAACGGGTAGCGCTCCGAGAGGGACGTGTCCTCCTTGACCTTGAGGGAGAGCGAGAGGGCGTGCACGCGAGCGACGGCCGTGAGGGCGGCCTCGGCTTGCCTGAGGGTCAAGCCGCGCGAGAACTCGGCACCCTCGAAGCCCCGGGAGCTCAAGTTCTCGAGGACGAGGAACGACTCGGGCGGCACGGGACTGTCCTCGGTGCCGCCGGCCGGGCTGTAGTGGGCGTGGATGCAACGCGGGATCGGCAGCTTGGTCGTGCTCGCCGAATTGAGCTTGTTCTGGCGCTGGAAGACCTCGAGATCCGGCACCACCTACATACATTTCGGATGTACGATACACGTTGTTTGAGCACGGAATTTCACCGGTTGCAGTGCAATAGAAAAACAAGTCCCCGCACGAGTTTGCGTCGAGATGAAACGGAAAAAAAAAGAGAGAATCCATAAACGATGTTAATGTAATCTAACGAGACATTTTTTGCAGGATAGAACTTGTGTCGGATGAGAAGAAAAAAAAAAAAAAAAAAAAAGCGCATCCAGAGTTGTGATTTAGCATGGAATGTGAGTATAGAACTAGACTGCTCCAGTGAATGATGCATAGGTATAATATGTGCAGTCTTGGCTCTCACCTGGGTGTAAAACCTGATCTCCCTGAGATCGAACTGCGCCTCGGTGACGAAGAACCGACTGTAGGGATCCTGGGGTAGCCGTTTGACGATCAAGCTGAGCTGCCTGACCGGGTGGTCGGCCGCGAGTCGGTACTCGAGGTTGACGGCGAGTATGTCACTGAGCACGCTCTCACCGGCGCTGCAGCCCGGCCTCACCTGGTAATCGACGACGCTCGGTCTGGCCAACTCGTTATTTATCTGCTCCTCGTCTTTCTTCCCCTCCGGTTCCTCCCTCGCCCCGGTCTCCTTCAGCCGTACGTGGTGCTCCTGCAGTATGCCCTCCAGCCACTCCCTCGTTATGCTCCACTCGGCGGCGCACGAGTCCTCCGTTATTCCCCCGTCCTCGCTGTCCGACATTGCTGATTGTCGTTCTATACCCGAATTAACAACAAACGCCCCCTCGGTTCTCCTTTGTCCTTCTCGATTCTCCCGTGCCACCCATGCGATACACCTTACCTTACGTTCGATGATCAACGAAAACAATGAAAAAACAAAAATAGCTGGTCTGTAGACTCGCGTCCTGTCTCGGATTTTTTACACCACACCCCTGCGCCCGTCGTCGTTAGCGAGCACCATCATCGTAGACAACGGCGTGTCATTGAACTCGAATCGAAACAACGATAACGGGGGTCAGGGATCTCGTCGAGGTCAATGATTCCGCACCGGCTTTATACGTACGCATACACAGTTGAGTATGTATATGTATTACTCGAGAACTTCCATGGAAGACAACTATAACAACGACCAGCGTTGCTTCCCCTGTGATTATTTGTAAAACGGGTGGATCTTTGCGGCTTATCGCGGCTCGTCCGCTTGGATCACCAACATGATGTTTCGTTCGGTTCTCTGGGGCGCGGGATCATCGTCCTCGCTGGCGTTTAAACGCGTCCTACAGGGCACAGGTGTGTAAATACGCGTGTCCCATCCTTCACACGAGAATCAAACCGTCGGTTGAGGTGTACACGCGGCACCGATGCTACTTACACCACTCGGTCCATGGGTGGGACTGGCGATGGGGATGGAAAAGCTCGCACCGCACCCCTCCGTCCCCATCGGCGCATGCTCAGGGTGAAATATACGATGGCGAGCCGGTGATTGCTGTGTGTATATGGGTACACGTTGTACACCGCCGCGAGAGCTTTTCTCTTTTCCTCCCTTGCCGCCTGCTGCTGCGCAATCAATATTCCATCTCTCCTACGGGTGATGCCTGCAGTCTAGGAACTGTATTTTTATTTTTCATATGTATGTACGTAGGTGTACGAGGGAGGTCCTTGTAGGGACGATGAGCGTCTTCTACGATTCTCATCCTTTTAGCGGCTGAGCTGGGATTCGTTTATAAAACGTCGAAAAAAAAAAAAAAAAAAATTCAGAAAGTGTCGTCATTCGGTATGAGATGGTTTTTTTTTTTGCCTTCATTCTCAACTCTTTTTTTATCAGAGTTTAAAGGTACGGGGATTTCGAAAGGAGCCAATTTTCGGTATACGTTATAGTTGCGTCTACATATTGTACAATATAGACGTCTCCAGGGAAGCAAGGATACGTCTCGATTTTTTGGCACAGAAAACACTTTCCTATAGCATAATATATTTTTTTTTTTCCAGAATGTGTATCTAAGTATACCGTCGCGTTAGTTGAATATCAATACCTTTGAGGATTTCCTATGGCTTACCTATAGTTCTCTCTTACCATTTCTTTACATTGACAATTCCATCGTTTAGGAACAATCTGTATCTTGATACCTTTATTGTTAATAGCAGGGCTGACACTTGCGTCGAGTTTTCCCAGGAAAAAGACGTTTTCCCGATATGTATGATGGCTGCTCTTTCACGCGATACACGCAAAAAAGACGAACCTTTAGAGAGAAAAACTCCCGTTTGCTTGCAGATCCTGATATCACCAGTACTGGCAGGCTTGGCAGTGGGCATCGGCGTGCCGATTCTACTGTTTTACGTCTACGGCGTGGTACCGGTCTCATTGTGCCGTAGCGGCGGCTGTGGCGTTTCGACCAGCGGCTCCGGCGTACGATTCGACTTTGACGACGAGAACGAGCTCATGGGTGCCCTTGGAGCCCGGAACACCGGAGGTAGTACATGGAATTGGTTACGCTGAAATTTCACGAACGATGACGTATGCTCACAAATCAAAAAGAGTTTAATTTTTTTTGGCCGTAACTTTGCTAAGACTTCGCTCCATGGTATTTTTTCGAACAATTCGAGTAAACGCTATGGTTCATAGAAGTAGAAAAAACTCTTGACGATGAAATTATTCACTTGCTCATAATCATCGTAAAAAGGGGGAAAAAAATTTCACTTTGCTCTCCCCGCGCTCACTTTCTCATCCTGCACTATACTAGCATATAAATAAACAAACAAATCCTAATCTCGTTCCAGACGCAGCCTCCATAGACGTAGCGAGTCACCGAGGCGGAAACCCGTCGATCGGAGAGGCCTCTCTGTCGCTGGGTAGCGGCAGCCAACTGGAGAAACTAGGCCGCGAGAACGACCGCGAAAGCGCGAGCAACGTTGCCCTCGCCGGCGTAAGCATCGCGGGAAGCATCGCCTCGAGCGTCCTCCCCGGTGGCCAGAGGTACACACTATCCTATCGTGTACCTATACGATCGTGGTCGTTGTTGTTTGAAAAAAAATGTAACGACAACGGCTCTATCCCTACAGGTTGGAGGTTCAGGCGGACGTGACGTCAACGCAGCGCTTTAGTCTTTGTAGCGAGACAGCCTCGGCGACGACGAGCCTCTCGGAAAAGTCCGTCAACGCATCCATCGCCCCGGACGACGGAGCAGCATCAACTCGTGCCCTCGCTGGCTCCGTTCTCAACATGAAGCTAGTACCGGACGCATCGGCCGAGGGCTCAGCTCCTGCAGCGTCTGTTGCTGCGACCTCCGCGACGACGACTGTCACGAGTACGGTGGCAGCTTCTATTGCTGCCACGACCCAGATGGACTCCTCCTCCGGCCAGGCGACCTCGCTCAGCTCGCTCGAGGAGATCGCGCCCGGTAGTCTGGCCAAGAGGACGCGACGTAGGCCGGCTGGCAATAACAATAACACCAGCGACAAGCAACAGCAGCAAAACAGCGATGCGAGCAGTGGCTGGACTAGCGCCGAGGATGGGAGCAGCGAGCGGGTCAGGTTCGATCACCACGTGAGCTTTATCGAGGCTGACCAGGGGGTGGTCGCTAACGATAGTGTCGATACTGCTGTCATTGCTGTCACTGGCGGTGGTTGTGGTAGTGGTGGCGCCAAGGGACCCGCCAGTCGGCGCAAAAGGAGTACCAGCAGGGAGCTCGAGAAGGAAGCCGTAGCCGTTGCTGCTACAGCAGCCGGTGCTAGTGAGGACGACGCGCGCCGAACTCTGAGGTTCCTACGACGTCTTTTCTCGCGATAAACACGTCTTCCGACGCGACTATTGATCAGCTTCTGGTGAGAAAGTTTAAAATTGCGATCCAATGGAAATTAAGTTATTTAACCGATTTGAATTTGATTTTAACTTAATTTTTTTAAATTTTTTATAAACTATTTTTCGAGTCAATAGAGTTTTTTATGCCTATTGAATATTTACTGTATGTCTTCATGGTTATCTTTTTCTATGTATCAAACAATTCTTTTTCCAGTATTATATATTACGTTTACTACTTCTACAACACAAATGTTGTAATTTTCTCACCAAATTTCATTTAAGTACTTCAAGTACTCATAATAAAATCTTTTAAATTAATATTTTGCAGATCCCAGAGTAAAGATATTTTGGAGCCACCCAGAGGGTTGGTGGGGCCCGTGAACATTTCAAACCTGAGAAATGTCTTTTTTCACGATTTTTCAGCTAGCGAGACACGTTTACCAGTAATTGAGGAGCCATTTTCCATAACGTTTCAGACAAACACAACGCACGTGGACAATTATCCAGTCGAGTCAGCGGTTGAAGCTGAGTTGGACAAAAACTTAAATTGTTAAAACGTAAAATAAAACCCGTTAACATCAAGGAAGCATAATAATAATTGCAAGCGTTATGGGGTAAAAGCTAATTTGGGTTATGATTATCTCTTTCCTACCAAATGCTACAAACAAGAGTAAAATTAGTACTTTTTAAACAGGCCTCACCTCGTTAACACTTCCAAGCATTCTGTTATGTATGTACTTTAAGGGCAAAATATAACTGAAGAAGTGTGTTTTTGGAATGACGTGCAAAATTTTTTTGTTCATGTGTGAATGAATGAAATGGTACATGAATAAATTGATCTGTAAAAGTTGGTATAGTTAGTTAAAGCCTTTATAATGTTTGTGGTCTCGTGCATAAGTAGCCGTACATTTATTTGTATGAATACATGATACCGCAGTTCAAAGTGAGATTCGCATTTTATAATAACACAACTTGTGTGATGATCAGGAGTATGAATTATTGAACACGAAAAAATATGTCGTTGGCGAATTTTAATATCAGTATAAAGTTAATTATAAGATTGAACGCTTTTTTATTCTTTTTAGAAAAGTTGATTTAAATATAATGCAAAAAAAATTTACTGAGACTTTCTCTGACTTCTGACCAGAGATATTGTATAATTACTACGAGTTCTTCAGCCCTGTGAGTAAAAACAATGTATAGCTTTTAATTACGGATGAAAAGAAGTATTAAATTACATGATAAACGTTGAAGTGCTTGAGTAAAATCAAAGCATAACTTGTTCAAACTCCAATGAGTGAATATGAAAAAAAAAAAAAAAAAGAAACAACGATAATTTTCACATCAACAATGTGAAAAACTGTTTGACGTTAACAAAAATCATTCAACACCAGAATATTTTGTTACATTGATTAAAAGGAAATATAAACTGCCGTCTTTTTTCACTCTTACGATCAGTGAAAAAACATTGGAAATATAGATCGCATATAGATTTAATGTTATTACTAATGTAAATTATTTAAATAAGTTATATTAAATATAAATATGCCATGTTGTAAAAACAAAATAATTTTTTTGACACGTACAGGGTTTATGTAAGAAAATAACAAATAATGCATTTTTTATTAATCTAATATATATTATAATGATCTACACAAAAACGAAGGAGACTTTTTCATGAGTTCATCTACCTTTATTTTAAACAATTCACTCTGGATCGGTTCATTTGGTTGACAAAGCGGATTTTTCACAACATACTCGATGTACACCTTTAGAGAAAATTATGTACATAACATTTTTAACCAGTGTAAATAATGCAGTTAATAAAAAAAATTTTAAAATACCTACTTGACTGTACAATCTTTGTAACAATTCTCTAACATTTTGAGCCACATTATCAGTGTTTAAAACAAATTTCAGCCCTGATGAAGTTTCAAAGTAGTGAAGTGTATATTTGCTTGTTTTATAAGACAGAAAACCCTCTTTGGAATCAAGCGGAGAAATTTTACTGACAAATGACTTGATGGAAAATAACATACCATACATTAATTTTGCTTCCTGTAAAGTTCACAATCATTAAATAACTATTATCGAAAGGTACTGAATTATAATGAATGGAAAAACACCAATGCAGTACTCTGAGATTAAAACTTTCAGGTTATTTGGGTTGACAAGAGCTGAAAAGATAACTCACCTCTTCCTTGGTCATACCGGATTTGTTCAGCCTATTCCATTCCTCATAAAACAAAAGAGTGCCATTTTTTGAGAAAACATACAAATTATGAATCGTCATTCTATATCCAAAGCAGCAGACCAATTATAAATATTTCACTTCAATTTATGAACTTTTGACACACATGTGTGTTTAAAGAAGTGGGCACAGCCAGATTTCACGGTCAGAAGTAACTAAGCCTGGCCTCCAGTGTGTTTGTATGTAAAAATAAACTATATTTTTGTTTCATAACTGTACTTAAGGATAAATTTATGTCACTGATAAAATGACATACATTTGACACGAAGGTCCACTGAATCCTGAATCCATAAATCCATATATACTTTTCGTGAACTCCGCCGCGTCTGTCCGTCAGCCGTCAGCTCACAGTGCTCACACGTCATTACGTTATAACGTCAAGTATGGAGGCTCGGTCACGACATCTACATAAAAACGCGAAGCGCGTACAAAACATAGTTGCAAAAGCAGACGGTTTCGTTTCTATTTCATTTAATTAAGTACAGCTTATAATTGTTAAGTACATCGTTACGTGGGAAAGAGATTTGTTAAAAAAAAAAAAAATGTTATATATATATATGTATATTAACTTTACACATATCTATACTTTTGGAGGTCGGTTTTCAGGTAAAAGATAAATTGTAAACTTGCCGCAAGTAGCACAAATAATATTAACTTTTATGACCTATCTATAAAATTTGTTGCGGCTGGTTTATAACTAATAAAGTGACTTTACTGTAAGTAGCAATAAGCAATAGCAATAATTATTTTGGATCAGCGCCATCTAGCGGTCTTTATTTTTTGGCCAAAAGTGGCTCCTAAAATTCTAAATCAGAGCATTCAGGATTAGAGCCATTTAATCAATTATAAACCAGCCGCAACTCATGACGAAGCTGTAAAATAAAAAAATAACGATACGTGTGTTTTTGGCGGCAAGTTAACAATCTATTTTATACTTGAAAATTTATCTTCAAAAGTATAAACACATACGAGGTCAATTTTTTGGTAGAAAATAGATTGTTAACTTGCCGTCAAAAACACACGTATTGTTGTTTTTATATTTTATAGTTTCATCATGAGTTGCGGCTGGTTTATAACTGACTAAATGGCTCTACGCGCTAAAGCTCTGGTTCAAAAGTTTAGGGCCACTTTTTAGTTCAAAAATTCGCAACGCTAGATGGCGCTGATCAAAATAATTATTACTTCTTAAATTAGAGCCATTTAATCAATTATAAACCAGCCGCAACTAATTTTGTAGATATGAAATAGAAAATTAAGGTTGTTTGTTCTATTTGTGGCAAGTTTACAACTTATTTTTTACCCAAAAATCGACCTCCTATTAGTATATTTACACGAATTAATAAACGGCCTCTACTGTATAACTGTACACCTGTACAGCTGATGGCACACACACACACACACACACACACAGAGTAAATACTGCTTGTAATTCATGCTCTGGTATATGTAAAGGTAAATTCATAAATTGTGTCATCGCACTTGTGTTTGCATCTCCAGTTTGCAAATGATAAAACTGTAAGAGTTTATTATTATTATTTGTATTATTATTATTATGAGTAAACAATATTATAATGCTTCAATCATAATACCATAAAAATATGTACATTTATCATAGTCTTGTCGATAGAAAATTTGATTAATTTTTAGTAACCGATTCGCACTGGCGTCAGGATGCCTAGACACCAGATCGGCCCGGACAATTACCCGACCAAATCGATATATCAATTAGTAGGCTTATATCCTTTCCTTAAGGTCAATTATACCTATTCAAGTTGTCAACAAAAGATTGACTCAATTTTCAGAAGCGCAAGTTTCAATCACCTTAATTTAGTAATTTTACGTCACAATGTGCTTAAAAGATCACAAATAATCGTTTAGTTTAATTTTTGATCCACAATCTTGTTGGATAAAAAAATAAAATTTCCATCTTACTAATATACCATATTATTATATACCAAAAATAAAAAAAACTCAACAGGACCATGAAAACAAATGCGTTTAAGAATGTGAATAATTTATTAGAAAACATTTACGCAACAACACTCACACTGTGGGAAAATTTTTAATTGATAAACAGAGTCATGTTTGTTAATCAATAAAAATCCCCCAAAATCGTAAACATCATCGTTGCGTGGATTTTGAGCGATAAAATGTCGACGATTCTTATTTATAACACAACGTAATAAAATAAATTGTGAATTAAAAATAAGACGTTACGACTTCATTACCAATTACCTTGCAATCAAAATTTAATCCAAAATCACGGGCAATAAAATAACAATTCAAGTTACCTACACTACTAATTAGTGTTCTCCCTCGATTTTAGCGAAAAAAATAGAATTTATAATATTACGTCACTTTTAAAATTTAAAACTCATATATTTAAAAAAAGTGTAAGTTAGAATCTCACAATTAGAAATAGAAAGTAATAATGTATCTATAATTGACTTTTTTTTACTCGTAAGTAGATTATTTTCTCATAAGTATATTTTATAGTAGTATCGAATTTGATGATTGAACCAACAGTTTGTTAAATTCTTAGCGGGAGACTCAAGAGGGCCAATATAAGAAATAGTCATAAAGTGCGCAAAACCCATTTTAACTTCAAGTAATACTTTTTCGTTCGTCTATGGGCTAACACATGACTTCTGATAATTATAACACCCATTCGTGCGAAAATCAAGCACTTCGCACACTCTTGTCAGGCATGCGAAATCTGATTTCGCGTTAAACGTGCGAAAAAATGACAGTTCACAGTTAAGAAGACCTGAAAAGACAATAGATGTGAGGTTTAGTGTGTGCATTTGCACCGTTTGTTTATAAGAATTTTATAAATAATCTTGTACATAAAGCGTCGGAAATATACGTGATGGGATATTCAATGTATGCACTATCATCTTTTATTCACTAACTATGAGGTTTCATCGTCTTTCCAATTAAGGAATTATTCATTTACACACACATACGCACAAACGTACATCCACTAATCGTAGAATAGAAATCGAAGTACGAAATTAATTTTCGTCTAAAGACATTCCCGTACTTATCGCAGAGATAATGGCACTCGAAGGAGCATTTCGAGCTGTCAATAATCGTTCGAACAATTAGACACGCCGCTCACACTGTGTCGTCCGTCGTTGAAGCGCGCATCAATTTCTTTGTTTTTTCTTTTTTTTTTTTCTTTCCCGTCGCAGCACTTGGCGTGACCACTCGTTGAACCACTTACCACTTACACTTTGTACGAAAAAAAAGCTGTGCAGTTAGGCTTTACTTAACGTGATTTTTGGTGTGCTCTTTTGGTTTACCGTGCAAATAATAACCGCGAACGCGTGACATGGATGATGGTGTCAAAAAGTCAGAACACGAAGTTACGACGGTCAGTATATGTATGCGCTAGTGTGTGCTTATGGTATTTTTCAAATAAAAATGGTGTTTTAAATTCGTTTTGACATTTGTCACGTACAATGGAGCCACGTAAGTACACCATATATATTTTGATTGTCAATGAGGACAGAAATATACAGGTCAGATAAATTGTAAATTGGTCATGACTAAGTATTGTTGTATGTATTCAATTAACGACTTTCACACTTGAGACATGAATTTTTTTATATTTGACTGGTTAAAACATTACACAGACACGAGAAAATAATGAAACGAGGCAAATAATACATTTTCACGCCTGCATCGAGCCCAATAGGCAACAAATGAGATTAATCAGCGGTGAATCGTGCGTGTGAATATTATACGTTACAATCAGTATACCTACCTTTGATTGTACGGTACAGGGTGTATATTTACAAATGTATCGACAAATGTGGGACGGTATCAATCAATTTCCATTATTTTATACAATGTGTATAAATGTAACGGCCGATATTGAAAAGAAAAAAGGAAAAAAAAGTCGACCACTGAAAGATAAGGTACAATTTTTATGCGCGATAAGATGCACTGGTAATTGCGAGCATAAATATTCATAGCTTTGGAATTTACAAAATCTGACGATGCAAGTTGACGTAGGTACGCCTTTCTAATAACTGGTAAACAGTTTTGACAATAATGTTAATCATTAATGAAGCTTTCCTATTTAGTTTTAAATTGTGTATCATAATGTATTATGCTCAGGAATAATAGTTTAACTGGCGGAATCTAGTATTTTAACTGGATCTAAATCCAAATCTAAATCTGAATGTAGTTTTACAATTTTTCAACGCATATTTGTAAAGTTGACTTTTTGGTTTATAATGAAATCATGGAAACATAAAAATTATGCAAAGTATCCTTGCAGAGTTTTGAAAGTGAAACAATCGGTATCGAATTCGTTTTCAGAACCATCGTAATTAGGTATACTTCAGAAAATCCGACTAATTATTGTTTCAATATAAAATATGTAGATACCGAAAAGTATGATTATTATGATTGGATTTCACCTTAATGTGCTTTGTTAACATATGCCCTATCGCTTTATGTCATCGTACAAATATTTTTCTTTAATTATTTTTACACTTTCAACGATGCATATTTTTTTTTTTTAATCACGCACGCGTTTAGACGACTGACAGTCCAAAGCCAAGATATTGGACGTTTACGTATAAAATATACACATTTTCACTATAAGCGTTTACATGTCTTGTTTCCACTAATGGAACTTTAATAGCCGGTAACCCATTTGCCAATAACTTTACTAATTCGAAGAAAAATCGTTGATTATTGTTTTCTTATATTATTCTTATACGTTTCCTAAGCTTAAGCTTACAATTTACTTGTAAGTCTCGAAATACTTTACATTGTTTGAAATAGGGGTAAGTGTACCCATCTCCGTGTCACGTACTGAAAATTCCAACTTAAATGCACCATAAAAAATGGTATACTAAAATTTTTTGGAATATTTTTTTTTTTTAATCTTACTTAATCTCTTACGGAATATTTAAAAAAATTTTATGAAGCTAAAACTGCAGTAGAATATTTTTAAAACGAATAAAAAAGGTATGCTGGTATTACCGTGGTTGTGTACCTATTACCGTGTACGTATTACCGCGGATGTATATAGGATTATGTTTACGTACGCTCACCGCGGAAATACGTACACAATCAGTTAATGAGCGCGTTGTACCGAATACCGTGGAAAATAATTATTTACTCAAAATATACACAAATATTTCTGTTTGAATTGCATCTACATTAACGTCATTTTAGATTATTAAAATTGAAAAATTATTTTATATGAAACATTTCTTATTTTGAGCAAGTAATCATCAGTTTTTCAAAATCCACGGTAATAGGGCAGAGCACGGAGATAGATACACTTACCCCTAAGCACACAATTGTGAAAAAAAAATCATGGTCACATTTTTTAAAGCTTTCTGTCACATTTCCAATTCAAATCTTGCGAAAATAAATTTTAAAATTACTTCGCTTCTCTGTGGCGTCTTCTTAGATACATGTAAATTCCAAAAAAATCCGACGTCATGTGAGACATCTCTATATGGTTACTATTCGGTCTGATTTACACATCCATGTGTTAGAATAACGTTGCGCACTAATACACAATCATTTTACTATCCCCATAAAGTACAATAAAAAGTTTCCACATCAATAACTACTCAGTAATAAAACATGAATTATTAATAAATTGCAAAGAGTAGAATTTCAATAAAAATGGACGCAGTACGTTGTTAATTGATAGGTGGAACACGGAAAAACGACGTTTTTGTGAATCATCCGACGAGATGAGAAAATTCCACAACCAAACCGTCAGAAGAATTTTCAATTTTGTATCATCGATATTGCATTGTAAAAAATTAAAGTACCTATTTTATAAATTTTTTCAAATTCTAAATGACACATTGAGATAATGTCATATTTGACTGTAGTTAATGTAATTTTTATTTTTCAAACCCAACGTCAGAACGATCGAGTGAAATAAATAAAAATTGTTTCCCCTCAAGAATTTCGGTACTTCTCAACTGTATTAATAAGCGTATTGTTCTATCTAGTCAAGCGTTTATTTATACAATTGACAAAAGTTAAAATTTCCGATGATAATCGTTGGTATGCCATTGCCACTGCCCATTAAAAAATAATTATAATATCTTTACGAGGAATGATAATAACGATGGAGGAAATAATAGAAAATAATACTTAGCTCGATAGTTAATACACCCGCAAAGAATAGCAACGAAAAGCTAATACTCTGTCATCGACCATAGATTTCCTGAACACGATTGGAGATAATGAATGAAATCAAAACCATTTAAATATTAACCATTCGCATATTATGCAGATAGATATTTGCTTCATTTCATGTACCCCCACTTGATGATTGCCAAACGTTTAACTTTTAGCATGGCAAAACTGATAAAACAATCATCTTTAATTTGTGGTTTATCGATAAGTGCCTTGTTCCCGATTCCTACAACTTTTCAAGACAATATTGTTTGAGTGATTTCAATTAAAATCGTTAAGAAAACCTTGGATATGCACATCCCTGCTGCCAATTAAATGCTATTACATTTTTAGTGCTCCCTTGTATGTACCATTAGCCATTTTCGACGGATTCAATAAAACTCGACAAATGTACAAATGCATTTGTAGACATTTTTCTAATCAGCCCTCACGGCTGGTGTCCTTATTTACCCTCGAATGATTTTAAGTTTTCCACGAGCAGACCCATTTTTAAGTTATGCTAAGAGACGAAGCATCATATTTACCGTCTGAATTGTGGCACAGGGGTCTTCTGCCACCCTAATGACTGCGTCTATGTGACAAAGCCATCTGATTTATCAGTAAGATCGTAAATAGGGAGCCCGTAAAGCAAATACAAAGTACAAAATACAAAACGCGAGAAAGGTAACACTATGCTGCGGAAGCACAAGACAAACTTCTAAATTTAAAGGCAATAATTAAATTACCAAAAATACGGTACTACTTTACTATAAAAGACACGGAATTAGTTGTGAAGCATTTACGTTAATTGACGAAGGATAGGACAGGTTTGGGTTGAACTAAATAAAAAAAACACTATTTATGAGCCACTGATGAAGATATAATTGGTGGCTCAGAGAAGGAAACTCTTGCGAGAAAACCCCCTAAGAGGAGAAAAACGACCGGTACAAATTGAATAGGAAAAAATAAAAACCTGGTTTGAATTGGTGTGCAGATGTGGAGGTGTAAATGTGTAAAGGTGTGAGTGTAAGCGCGCGTCCGCGCTGTTCTCCATCTTGTCTTTGTACCACGGTTCCGCGAGTGCGGACGTTCGCCGTGGGTGCTAACAGCACGTGGTGAATGTTGACGCGGCACGCGGCTGTATTTTAGATTCAAACGAACAAAGATGAATTGATGCAAAAGAAAACACGTTGATGCGTCGCGGCGCAACGAAAAAACTTCTCAAAAACTCGAACAAGCGAAAATTACCCAAGACAAGCTACGTACACGATTTCTCAGAAAACAACTGGAGACCGCTCTGTACAGATGCAAGTATCGGACTGACCGAGGACTACCGAATTTTTCCAGTTGTGATACCCTTTCTTTCTCCCTCAACCCCACCCCCTTTTCTAAGGATGCGCGCCAATTAGCGGAGGTGTTGTTCATCTCGAGTGTCAATCGGGTGCCGGGACGCGAACGATGCCGAAGATGGACGAGGCAGACTAAGGATTCGGTTTGAAGGGGAAGAGAGAACGAGACTCTAGAGCGAAATAAGAAACCCGCGTAATGAGTGTGTACTTATGTGTGAAGTAAACGAATTTAAGCGCGGTTTAATGTATTGATGAGGACGAACGTGCTGTGAGCTTCAATCCTCCTCCGCTCACGTGGCGGTACTCGATTTAGTCGCATTCGACAAAACACCGTCACCGTAATGGTCAACGAGCGATGAGCTCGGGTTTAATTAACCTTTTGTCTGTTTAATGTTTCGGTGTCGCAGACCAGGAGACCGTCGATGGGGGTCGTCATACCGGGGATGGTTGCGGTGCCGAACGAGCGCCAAGGCTGGGCCAGTCCCGTAGAATTTGTGCTCTCGTGCATCGGCTATGCGGTCGGAATTGGGAATATCTGGCGCTTCCCCTTCCTCGTCTACCGCAGCGGAGGAGGTATGTACATTGATATCTGGATGCTCGCGTTTTTTTTTTTTTTTTTCCAAGAGATTATGCACTATTTTCTGTTCAACCTTCCAAGAAGTCATTCAACCTCACTTGCACAAAAATTTTATGCAATTTGAATGAACAAAACAAAACACGTGTTAACGATGGATACTGTTTCAAGCAATAATCGTAATTTCATTAGTTATTTGATCGAATGTCTTTCTATTTTTTTTTTTTTCTCTTTTTTTTTCAAACGATATAACAGCACGCATCTGTGCTTTGAATTAAACGGCAAAATACATTTCTTTGTTTCCTTATCTCGACACACTTCCCGTTAAAATAAAAATCCTCCAATTATCGCTTTCCCGAGATGAATCGTCAGTTTCCGGGTATGAATATCAATGAGTTCTCTACTCGCACTTATAGATGGGATGCTGGACTGTAAAATAGGCACACATGTGGCACAGAGGAGCCTCGTCATTCCCTACAGTTGATCACTATATACTGACTAATTCTGAAGCGTGAAATGAGTACGGCCAGCAAAGGAAATTCCAGATCGGACGTAGCGATTGCTTTTTCCGTGATACAATCCTCGCTGCCAAATATTAGCGATTATTTACCATTTGTAGTGGTTTTTTCGCTGATTTACATTTATAGAGAAATCTCATGATAGCCGTGCCCGCGGAAGCGACACCGTCAGCGTCCCATCGATTGCTTTTATATGCAGCCGTAAACACGTATATATATATCTGTATGTGTCAATACGATACCGCGTTGTATGCCACAGTTGTATCTACGCGGCTAGGGTACACACGTCAAAATCTTTTAAAAAATCACGAGCAATCGGTGGAAACAATTTTTTTCTTCTTTCTTTTTTTTCACGACTTATCTTGTATAAATTCAAAGTTTCATGCTTAAGTACGTGAAAAAAGCCGTGGCGAGATGCAAGGTACCACACGGAATTACTTTTATCTCCGGATAAAATCCGATAATATAGTTTTCATTCCACTTTTATTAGTTGCAACTTTAATTTTAAAACGTTACCAATTAAAAAACAATGAAAAAAAAAAAAATTTGAGCTCCCGTTAAATGATGAAAAATAATGATCAGACCCGAGTATCGAGGGCAATTTGGTTACGGTCAGAACTTCACGGTACTTTTATTGGCGATCGAATGAAAAATATATAACTACCATTCTATTTCAAACTATTCATCGTAAAACTGGAATCACTCGCAATTTTTTTATTCGATCGACATTTTGATTTCGTAAGAGAGTTAAACTCGAAATTCGTTATTCGATCGCTTCCAGCGATTTGTTTGGGATTATTTTCCAAGATAATACTTAATACTATGGGTTTGTCCCAATGGTATGATTGAGTTGCAACTAAAAAAAAGGCAGTAATTTTTACTGCAATCAACTGTACGACTTTTGTCTCTCTTCTTAGTTACACGTTTACCAAAGTTAAACCGTAAAAATGAGCAAATTCGCAGCCAGTAGGAACATCCTTGCAATTATTTTTTCCGTGATCTCATTCCAGGCTAAAAATTAAATAGCCACCCTTAGCGACAACGACGACAGCTCACAGTTCATAACTTTTGTATCCAAAAGGTGTACACTGAAAAAATACTTTCCGATACTTGGCCTCTCTCTCTCTCTCTCTCGCAGCTCGTATCTTTTGATTAAAGTTAACTGGGATTCATCCACCCGCTTTTCCCATCGGATACGGCTAGATAATCCGGACAGAAGTTGCTGTCGAAGCGCACATCTCTTTGGCCAAAAGGGACCGATGGGCCTGGCTATTTAATGACACCCTTACAGCAATATCCATACCTACTGTATTATGCATCATCTGACAGTACAAATACACAACAGAATTGCACGCCCAACCTCTATGTATACGTATATGTACAAACGAGTACCCTTCAGTGCTTCACGGTATATATGGATAGCTTATACTCCCAACGGAATCAGCGGCAGTTTGCTACGTGTATATAATATATGTACACAAGATGACAACTTGGTCTATTAGAGGCCCGCGTATATACTTACCGTGTGTCATTATACACCCCCCGCGAGATACAGCGACTGCATAAATATACATGTATACCTAAGGTATACATACCTTCCAATTTCACGAAGTAAGTGCAGCTGCAGCTCTCGGCTCGAGTTCACTTGCCAAACTTTACGTTATAATACCTACATACCCTCTGCTTCCTATTTTCTCAGCTCCGTGTGTTACGTATATAATATACATACAGCTTGGTAGATTAGTTCGGCTTACGGTTACCCTATTGTGTTACACCCCCAAATCAAATGTAAGGGAGAAGTGCACCGCGTTAGTTGATAGCTATACGAGAAATCCTCTCCGAGTATACGATTTTTTTTTTTTTTTTTTGAAACTCGGTATAAAAATGGGATAAACTATAGAACAAAACTAAAAGGGCGGTACTCGCAGGAGCCTTCCTCATACCGTTCGTCCTGATTCTGCTGGTGATGGGTCTCCCGATCTTTTTTCTCGAGCTGGTGGTTGGCCAATACTCGGGCCTCGGGCCCACGGAGGCTTACGCCCGCATGGCACCGATATTCCAGGGCCTCGGCTACTGCACCATCGTCGTCATCACCTTCGTCACCATCTACTACATGGTACTCACCTCGTGGATGCTCTTCTACTTCTTCGCCTCGTTCTTGACCAAACTACCCTGGTCAACGTGCCTCAACGACTTCAACTCTGCCAGTAAGTTCCACACACATGTATATGTGTAATAATTCTTTTCTTTTTTTTTTTTTTTTCATCCCGCGACAGTATATATATATAAATACAACACGCGTAACTTACCGAATGCCAAAAAAGATTGTTACAGCGAGATGGACAACATCGATTGCCAGAAAAATGGCAAGGATTTGTTTTTCAACGGCACGTGCCGGTTTATGGCCAAAGTGTGCCAAAACCTGAACCACACGAGCAGTATCGGCAACTTTACGCACTGCTTCGACCCAAATACAACGCCAACCACCGCGAGGGAGCTTCGGAACCTCTCCGGTACCATACTCTCGACCTCGAGCGAGGAGTACTTTTAGTAAGCCGTTTTGCCTCATCCATACACACATATATACATGTATACTTTATCGTACAAGTTGACAAATTCTATACTCTAAACCACCACCAACGCGTCAATGTTTCACGAGGAGCGGAAAAACCGCGTCGTCGCTCTTCGTTCGTTCGTTATTCCCTACCTCGTAAGTATGTTTCATACGTAAGTATAGATACACACGTGTATTATGCACACGCGAGGTGGTGCAAAGTAAAGTTTGTAACGCGATTTGATGTCAACTTACAGTGACGTGTCGTTCGTAATTCGTGTCTATACATACATACTTATATACGTGAGTGCTCCTGCATTATAATTTTATATCCTTTTTTTTTTTTTGACAGTGATCGCGTTCTTGGCGTACGAGGAGCTGACTGGGAGCACTGGGGTGGCTTCAGGTGGGAGCTCTTCGGTTGTTTGACCATCTGCTGGATCGTCTGCTACTTTTGTCTCATCAAGGGCGTTCAGTCGGTGGGAAAAGTCGTCTACTTCACGGCGCTCTTCCCCTACTTTGTCCTCATAGCTCTCATGATTCGAGGTAAAAGATTTTTACCATATTAACTACTTGCTATTTATTTTCTTTCAGCTGATGCATCTCTCCCTCTTGATGGTATAAAAATTGCCTGCCCTTCCCTCGTCCCTCGTTAAACGCACACGTAAAAATATTGTTACTCCACTCGAATTTCATTCTAAAAAGAACGTTAAGTACATTTTGTTTATTTCGGTCTTTGTCTACCCCATCGAATATGCTGCTCATACGATATCGTCCGTAGAATCGATGTTGGATCGAGCGCGAGTGTAAAAATACGCCAGAAGGGTGAAAAATTGCAAACAATGCGGCCACAGCGTGTTGAACGAGAACAATTACTGTGTACACGTAACGAGAGGGATTATCCGATTTCCATGATTTTCGGACGGCAAGCCGATATTCTCGCGCGTGGTTGTATCGTATATTCTTTTTTTCTTCTTTTTCGCGGATCGTGTGTCCTGCTTTGGATACTTTTGAGCGATTATACGTGGTTGAAGTTTTTTGAAAATATTTTTTGTCACAACGTAATATGAGCCATCATTGGTGAAGAGATGCGCGTCAAGTGGGCCCGGATATCCTCGTAGCTAGTTCGGCGAAGTAGATGCAAGTATTTCATTAGAGAAAAAAAAGGGAAAAAAACAAGGTGGTGTTATAACTTTATTAATGAGGGACGACGATCCGTAGGGGCGACACTTGAAGGAGCAGCCGACGGCATACTATGGTTTATCACGCCGCAGTGGGATCAGTTGGCGAATGCGAGAGTCTGGGCGGACGCGGCCTCGCAAGTGTTTTACTCGCTCGGAATCGGGTGTGGTTCTCTTATCACCCTCGCCAGCTACAGCTCATTCACCAACAACAGTCACAGGTATACCGATGCGCCGTTTCTTTCTGATTTGGCTACAAAAATTTTGGGCCCGAATGCTCCGCTGAATTTTAGATTTTATTCTTTTACGTGAGCAAAACGTGGAACCATAGATGCATCTTCTTCTTTTTTTTTTTTTTTTTTTTTTTTAAGAACCGTTACATTTTTGCTGTTTGAAAGCAAACGACAGGGTTAAAATAAAATATAGTAAAATATTCGGTTTGTATTCAAGGGAATCATGGAAGATTTGTAAAAAATAAGCTTCGTTGAAATACGTTATTTTTGATACTTTTTTTTTTTACAAATCAGTTAAGCAGGTTAAGCTGTGGAAATAAACTGGACGATATTATTGGTTTTTTTTTATGCGTTACTGTGTATTGCAATCGCGTTGCTTTGCAGAACAAATAAGTACAAGCCGAGATAATAATTGTGCATCGATAAATTATATTTTTAGCCGTATTATGAAAACATTCAATAAATCATTTTGATTATTGATTTTATTTTAATTGTGTTCTAAAAATCAAATTTTCAGGTAAATAAAATCAAAATTTTTTTGTGTCTGGTCATCTCTATTTTACGTTTTAATATATGATGTTGTATGAAATACATAAATTGATCGTCTTACTTACAAAGTTATGAAAAAATAATAAAAGAAAATTACATAAGGTTCGGAAAACGTCAATTTCGTGATTTTACTTTTAATTTTGTTTTCATACCTCCAACGTCAAAAATTGATTTCGACTTATAATATACAATGAGAGAAAGAAGAAGAAGAGGAAAAATGAGATTTAGAGAGCTGAGGTCTAACGCTCATTTGGCTTCCTCGAAATAAATCCTTGGAAAAAAGCAATTTTTCCACTTTTCATAAAATTGCCGTCTCGAAACGCTTTATTGCCGGTACTGAACAAAAATTTCCGAGCTCACCTCTTCTTGTTTCTCTCCTGTATCGTTGGGTTATTTCTAACTTCACGACTGCAAATCAGGATATATTTCTCCTTCGCTACACTCATAGCATCGTCTTCCGATAAAAGTTACCCGTGTAGTGAGTTATACGCTATGGATATAAAAGTTTTCCGCTCTATTGGAAGTATTTCAACGTAGAAGCCAAATAAGAAAGAACGATCGTTTTATTTTATCCCCATCTGCCCTCTCCAATCTCTCGTTTTTTTTTTTTTTTACTCTCGCGATAATGGGCACAATTTTGAGTAATGTGTACGTCTTTTCTGAGAAATCGAGCTTTAAAAATGCTATACATGATTGATAAACTGAATGGTTTAAATCTAATAACAAAAAGGTCTACGTTAGATTACTAAATAGTATTGTTCGTCTTGGTAACTAAACTTATTATTTTTCTCACTTCAGTATTGATTAAAAGAATAAGGAAAAAAAACTACAATGTTTACCATTTTACAATTTTATTCAATTTAAATTTTACCAAGCTCTATTTTGTTTTTCGAATAAAATCATATTGACATTTACATTAAGAAAATTTAATTTTAAGTGTATCTGAGACGTCAAAATGTAGACACAATTGCATCCAAATTTACGAAAAAAAACACTTGCTTCCTTTAATATTTTTTGTACTTATTTGAACTTGGAAAATTTCTTCAAATGAAATGATAATTATGAAAAGTAAAATGAACGTTCAAGCTTTTCATAATAATATTAATACACAAAAGTAAAATTTTACTTTAATAAGTACAAAGAACAAAAACGATCGAGGTTTGGAATTGCAATTTAATNAAAGGAAAAAAAAAAAATTTTATTTTCAAACACGGGACGTTTTATTTTTTAAATTTTCATGTGGTTAATTGTAGTATCGTCGCGGGTACATAGCGTTTTTCCCGGTAAAATAAGCGATTATTACCGTAACGCTCTTTTTAAATTGAAAAAAAAAAAAAGAGTTTAGTTTCAAGCACCTTCCGTACCAGAGAGTGGGGCAATTTTAATTTTTGGTATAAAACGCACTTAGGGACGCGGTATTCGTAACGCTGACGAACTTGCTGACATCGATATTCGCCGGCTTCGTAACGTTCTCGGTGATGGGCTTCCTGAAACACCAAACCAAGTGGCCGATCGACCAAGTCGTGCGCAGCGATACCGGCCTGGCCTTCGTTGCCTTTCCCGAAGCCGTGGTACGGATGCCCCTGCCCAACATGTGGGCCGTGCTCTTCTTCTTCATGCTCTTCATCCTCGGTCTGGGCAGTCAGGTAAGATTTTTACATTGATTTTTCATCATTACGAATTATAATGCGACGTATGCCCGAATGATGACATTTTTCACAATAATCCACGATCCGATTGGTATTTTTATTGCATGCGTGGCGCGAAACGACATTATATTATATTATCCAGATGTTAAGTACCTACCTTTTGAAAATGTCCTCGTGCGAGCGCTCAAAGCACGGGTGTTGGATAAAAACGTGCTTTTTGAGGGTAACGACACGCACAAAGTGCCAGCTCACGCACGGATGCTCGAGTTTATTCAAAAAAAAGTGAAGGGGAAGAAAAAAAATACCGCAAAGGGGTGAACAAATACAGCGCCCCTGATTTTCGAAACGCGATAAAATTATTCGTTCGTGTCCAACGCATTTGTTCTTTTCTCGGTTCTTCAATTTCTCACTAATTTATAATCAATTTTTTATCGATTTACTACGAAGTCGGGTTAAATGACCAAAGCGATACGACTTCCGTAACAGTTTTACTTAATGCCGGTCGCTTCCGGCCTCGGTTATTGTATACTCAACCGGTAATTATACGTGAAAACTCGGAGTTTGTTTTTTCGGCAAAACACATACAACGAGAAATCAAGATGGGCCAATGATAGGAATGAAATAATAGATGATAAGTATCAGCAGCAACGAAATTTCGTAACGAATTTTCCGATACAGTTGGCTGGGGTGCAAGCGATAAGCGGTGCCATAATGGACTCGATGCCCCAGTTGCGCAAACACGAGGCCATCGTGATCCTGGGGGTGTGCTTCACGTGCTGGTTGGCAGCGATCCCGATGCTCTTCGACGGCGGTATCTACCTGTTCACGCTGATGGACTGGAACACGGCCTCCTGGGCTATTCTGCTGATTGGGGTCGCCGAGCTCGTAGTGCCCGCCTGGCTGTACGGCTGGGACAAACTCGTGGACAACCTCGACCACATGCAGATGCGATTTGGGCCCGTTCTCAGGCTGTACTGGCGCATCAGCTGGCAATACCTCGCCCCAATTTCTGCCCTGGTTAGTACTTTGACTCGATCCCTTCAACAGAATAATGGCACAAACTTTTCTTTACTTTTTGCCTTCGGGACCACCTGTTTAAGAATTGAAGGCTTCTCTAGTAATACTTTTGTAAAGGGCTTCCGTTAAAAGTTACAAGTAGTCAAAGGCGTGGGAAAAAAGCTCAGCTTTCGATACCCTACAATAATCTCATCGCAAAAATCGCACAGCGATGATACTCTTTATTTTTTAAAACTACCAAATCTTTATGGATTTTATTGCGAATAACCAACGCAGTTTCGAGCAGATTTTAATTTAAAGGTCATTACGCGTGCGCTTGATGATTCGAGCCGTTCTATTGACTGGGCAACCATTCATCAGCGCTTGGTGCGGATAAACGGGTGCGTCATAAAAAAACAATAATCAAAGTGAGCAAAGGCCTTCGACCCGATTGCACGTTGAACCGAGTAGAGAGAAAAAATCGATGCCTTTAACGAACCAACGTCGGCCTCTGCAATTTGTATTTTGTAATGGTGAGCCACACACGTGGATAGTAGTACGCGGTCGTATACGTGTGAGTCGCGGCCCATCATCATCATCATTACCGGGCAATCATCAACGCTCTGACCGCAAATTGCAATCGTGAATTTTCTTCCTCTCGTAAATGCTATTTCTCCCTCCCTCATCGGCTTGTGTATGTACGTACGCAAAGGCTCGAATTATCCCGCCCAATTGCGTTTGATAACGTTTGACGACCGATTTTCCATAAATCGGGACTTTATGGGAAATCTTTTTCCCGAAAAATTCAACTACGTAATCATAGGTTTTGTAACGCTATGTTTACCATCCCCTGCACTTTCATCGTCAATTCTACATACATTATACATCATACCACAATAGATGTTATAGTAGTAAAATAAAATTTCCATTTCCAGGGTATATTCGCCTACCAGATGTACAGCTTTCAAAAGGGCCAGTTGCGCGGCATCGAGTTTCCTTGGTGGGCCGACGCGATCGGTGTGATGATCGGCTTGGCCACATTGGCCCCCATGCCGATCGGCTTCTGCTTTGCACTGTTCCAAAAACTGGTAAGTACAACTATTTTTCACATTCTCACCTCCTCTTTGTTACTTTCAATTTGCCTCGGTAACCCCATCAATACGGTTTGTTTGAGAAAAAAAGAAAAATTTTTTCCTCGATCTTCTTGGCGCAAGAAGCCCTAAAGGGTCCAAAATAACCGGGAACGGGAGGACTTGAGCCACCGAGTTTTATTACATGCACAGGTCTATTTCGATTGGTATGGATACTTACCTGCGCTCCGAGATTCTTCTTGAGCCGCCGGAAAAGAGTTTCTCGCTTCGATTCTCGTTATACTCGCACAAGAACGTCGGCATCGACTCTACACAGGAAGACGCGTGACTTTCGCGACCTAGTTAAACTGACGTATGAGGAGTTCTCGCACTGGGTGTTCTTGTGTACAAGTACCGACCCGTTCTCGCCAAAATTTTGCTCTTACACTTGTTCGGGTGCACTTCAATAACTCTATAGGATGAGAAAATCTAGGAATGTTGTTCCCCGTGGGACTCGGTTTGATCGAGGATGCTCTGGAATTTATTGTTGTATAAAATTCATGGGATTATCGATTTTGGGTAAAACTCGACGTCAAAGGCATGTAAAAAATGCAGTGTACTGCGTTGACTATTTTTTTTTTTTTTTTTATGCATAATTTAAGCTTATTCGTGTTGGTATGGGCCAATGCATAAAATTCGCACACTTTTCTCGATATGTCAATGAAAAAATGAACGTTTGTTACAATCTAAAAATATTAGTTTCAGAAAGACACTAGATTATTCAAACCAAAGTCGAGCTGGGGACCTGCGCAGAAATCACTCAAAGGAGAAAACAAGCCTTCAACGATCAATCCGACTTTTATACCCGACGCGTGAGGTATTAGAAAATACTTCATGAATAACTAGGCTACGACAGTGTGCAGTGTTGCTAGCTACAACAAAATAAGCTCATGATGTTGATACCATATTCAATCAAGTACGAATGTAATTAAATGTTCACTTACAAGTTGCAGTGTAGCATACATGTACGTTTTTTTTATTTTTTTTTATTTTTGAAATATTGTTTCAACCATAAGAAGTGGAGAAAAGTACGAGATAATTGAAATGATTAGTATTAAAATTTGGCCAAGTGCTTACTACATATTACAAAATACTCTTTAATAGGAGATAAAATATGGCTGTATTTACAGCCTGGGTAGAATTAAATGAGATTTTTCGTGACTGTTAAAAAGTCAGATGGTTTATCAATAGTTTATAAAGATTAAAAACCTATAACAAATCACGCTGGGAGGGCGGAAGCTCGACTTGGATTCGATTTTAGGATTTCCTCGTTAAATATTTATTTGTAAGTAAAATGGACATTTTAACGAGTCAATATAAACCATTGGCTTTGTGAGCTCGCTGTATGGTATTGAAGTAGAGTTGAGTTTTTTTCTTTTTTATTCGTATAAAACCATCCATAACATTTTGAAAGAAAAAAAATTTTTTCATTAAGTACTTACTTCATTGCGTTGCGAGATTCTAACGGCACATAACTTGAAAAAAATAGAAATCAAAAATGCTAGAGCAGGCGTTATTATTCTTAAGTAATATTGATAACGCTTAATAAAAAAAAATTCGAGATAATTATTGATCAATAAAAATATTCTAAGACATTTAAAATTTGTAACGATACGATACGAGTGTCTTTTTCTATCTGTCAAAACATGTTACGTGATAATAATATTGTGTATGTCATCATGGGTTATTAAGAACTTGTAATCTTGTTAATGGACTCTTAATTATGTATACTTACTTTGGAAGAAGAAATCCAAAAATCACAATGATATCATGGTTATGGTCCATGTAGGCAGTTGTCTCGAATGAGTGGGGCTCCAAGAAGGAATAAAGTTTTTTTTTAAAAATGCACCTCTCAATTTTCAAATTAACTGTTACAAACACACGACTGACTTTATTGTACTTGTCGTAAATTTTTTTTTTTTAATTTACGACCTACGTGTCCTGTGATTATGCTGTGCCGACAATATATAACACAGATGTAGCTGTTAATTATTTTTATTAAGTAAATTTTTCTGATTTCGTACTATAAATAGTTTAGATAATCAATGGTCATAACTTTCTATTATCATAAATAGATAGACCTGAATAATCGATAAAAAAAAAGTTAACTGAAAGTTTTCTATGATGGCTGTTAAATAAATTGTCAGAGTAAATTATTGACAAGAATAATGCTGGAAGAAAAACCAATCGTTTATTGATACGTACATTTTATAATAAATAGTATTCACGAAAAATTGGTGAGTACAATATATCCATGTTATACATTCATACAATATTTTCTTATTTCGTCTGCCGTCCGCCACTTACGTGTATTATGCATTACTAGTAATCACATTCAATTTAATTTATTGATTAAGAAAATTTGTATACGTATGGCTTAGCTATGTATATATGTATTTGTGACAACATATTCAACACTTTACGTTTATGTTCAACATTTTACATTAATAAATACATTCGTCCACTTTCTTAACAATAAATAGTGATTTTTTTTATTCTTCATTTTCTGATACTATGATTGCATCAGTAATTTATTTTTTTTAGTTTTCAACGAATATTATTTACAAAACTGTGAATACTTAAAGGAAAAAAAAGACTTAAAAACAACATAGCTGTAATAAATTTATTTTTTTTAAATAATAATATTAATATTAAAAGAAATAATTAACATTTACATGTATATATATTCTCTATAGAAAAGTCTATCGTACTCTCTGCATAACATTATTTTGGCATTTAATTGATTCAACGGATAATTATAATAAAACACATTATAAAAATGCATTATTTATCACAGTTGCGTATGTACAAATTATACAGGATTTCAATAAAAACTTTAATTATAATTCGTTCTCACCAATAGAAAAATTATTTTATTTTATATTGTTGCATGCATTTTTCATACAAGGCTATAAGAAAAAAAAAAAATACTTGTTAAAAAAATGTTTAAAATAAAAGCATTTCGCTAACAGATGCTG